TGAAGGAGGCAGTGGTCAAAAGCAAAACACTAGTGAGGAGGGAAAAGGAAGAGAAAGAAAAGCATAAATGGGGGGGTAGATGGAGAAAAAGACACAGATAGTAATCACAACTGTGAATGTGAATGGGATGAACTCTCCCATAAAACAGAAGCAGATAGCAGAATGGATTAAAAACCATAATCCTACAATATGCTGTTTACAGGAAACACATTTGAAACAGAGAGACACCCACAGGGTAAAGGTCAAAGGCTGGAGTAGAATATAATATGCTTCAGCTGAAGTAAAAAAAGCAGGGGTAGCAATCCTGATCTCAGACAAAGCAAAAGCAAAAATAGATCTTATCAAAAGAGATAAAGAAGGAAACTACATCCTACTAAAAGGCACCATAACAATGAAGTAATATCATTACCAAACATACATGCACCAAATGGCATAGCATCCAAATTCTTAGAGGAAAAGTTCAGGGAGTTACAGGCAAATAACTTTGATTACATTAAATTGAAAAGTTTTTGCACAAACAAAGCCAATGCAAACAAGAGTAGAAGGAAAGTAGAAAACTGGGAAAGAATTTTTACAACCAGTGTCTCTGATAAGGTCCTCATTTCTAAAATATATAGAGAATTAAGTCAAATTTATAAGAATACAAGTCATTCCCCAATTGATACATGGCCAAAGGACATGAACAGGTAGTTCTCAGATGAAGAAATTAAAGCCATCTATAGTCATATGAAAAAATGCTCTAAATCACTATTGATTAGAGAAATGCAAATGAAAACAACTCCGAGGTACCATATCACAGCTATCAGATTGGCCAGAATGACAAAACAGGAAAATGATAAATGTTGGAGAAGATGTGAGAAAATTGGAACACTAATGCATTGTTTGTGGAGTTGTGAAATGATCCAACCATTTTGGAGAGCGATTTGGAACTACGACCAAAAGGCTATAAAAATATGCATACCCTTTGACCCAGAAATAGCATTTCTAGGGCTATATCCCAAAGAGATCATAGAAATGGGAAAGGGACCCACATGTACAAAAATATTTATAGCAGCTCTTTTTGTGGTGGCAAAGAATTGGAAATGGAGACGATGCCCATCAATTGGGGAATGGCTGAGCAGGTTGTGGTATATGAATGTGATGGAATACTATTGTGCTATAAATGATGAACAGGCAGACTTCAGAAAAACCTGGAAAGACTTGTCTGGTCTGATGCTAAGTGAAGTTAGCAGAACAAGTATAACGTTGTACACAGCAATAGCCATGTTGTGCAATGACTAATATTGATAGACTTAACCCTTCTCAGCAATACAAGGATCTCCAAAGGCCTCACGATGGAAAATGCTATCCACATTCAAAGAAAGGACTATGGAGTTTGAATGCAGATCGAAGCATACTATTTGCTATTTTTTTCTTCTGTTGTATTTTGTTTCCTCTTTCTGGTGGTTCCTCCTATTGGTTCTAATTCTTATTTACAACATCACTAATGTGAAAATATGTTTAATAGGAATGTATAAGTATAGCCTACCTATATCAGACTGCATGCCTTCCTGGGAAGGGAGATGGGGAGGGAGGGGGAGAAAAATTTAAAACTCAAAATCTTATGGAAGCGATTGTTGATAAATCAAAATAAATTAACAGGAAAACAAGAGACTTTCAGTGACCCTACGATGAATAACTGATCCTAAAGTTCTGATCCTTCCATTCATTTGGTCTTTGGACCAAACTCTGATTTCTTTGCAGATTAATCAAATGACCTCTTCTGAAAATTCCATGCAGTAGCTTCACTTTTCCCTTTCTGCCTCTCCATCAGAACCAATTTTGAGATAGGCCCTAAAACACAGAATCTAATTTCATTCCTACATACAGCCCATTATGTCATTGTGCAGGGAAAGGTTATGCAGAAGTCTGATCCTACCTCATCCCACCTTCTCAGGTGCCTCATTATCTTACTGACTCCTTAAAATGAGTATTTCTCCAAATTTTACCTCCAGTTCTCTTCTCTCCTCAGGTCTAGCTAGGTTTATTCCCACACCTTTATGATGACTCCTAAATCAGATCTATCCAGTTCAGACCTTTCTGCAAAGTCTACAACCACATCTCAAAATACTCAAACTCATTATCTACCATATAAGGCTTACACATCTGCTATAGCTTTTGACTTTTCCATCTCACAGATCTCATCAGCGGTGCTACTGCACATCCAGTCTCCCTTGGCCTGAAACTTTGGAATTGTTTCAAGCTCTTCGCTCTCTCTCTCCTCTTGTATTCAATCAGTCATGAAATCCTGCTGATTGTCTTTTCATGATTCTTTTATCTAGGGGCTGTGCTGGAGCCAGCATGAACCAAAGTTAATGCTGATTGTCAAATTTTCACTGTAAACCCTGAGGTATCACCTCACACCTATCAGATTGGCTAACATGACAGCGAAAGAAAATGACAAGTGCTGGAGCGGATGTGGGACACTAACACTGTGAAGGTGCAAACTGGCCTAATCATTCTGGAGAACAATTGCCCTTTGACTCATCATAACAACTAGCTTTGCATCCCAAAGAGATCGAGGGAAAAGGAAAAGGACCTGTACGTACAAAAATATCTATAGCAGCTCTTTGTATGGTAGCAAAGAATTGGAAATTGAAGTGATGCCCATCAATTGGGAAATGGCTGAACAAACTGTGGTATGTGATTGGGATAAAATGTCATTGTGCTAGAAGAAATGACAAACAGGATGGCTTCAGAAAAACCTAGGAAGACTTATATGAACTGATACAAAGTGAAATGAGCAGAACCAGAAGAATATTGTACACAGTAATAGCAATATCGTAATGACAATCAACTTGTGAAAGACTTAGCTACTCTGATCAATGACAATTTCAATGGACTCATGTTGAAAAATGCTATCTACCTTCAGGGAGAGAACTGATGTACTTTGAATGCTGACTGAACATACTTTTTCATTTTCTTTATTATTCTTGCCTTTTTTTCTTGCAACATGGCTAATGTGGAAATATATTTTGCATAACTTCACATACACAATTGCTTGCCTTCTTAATGGATAGGGTTGAGGGAGAGAGAGAATTTGGAACTCAAAATTTAAAAAAAAATGTTACAAATAAAAAGTTAGAAAATTTCAGTGTAAGCTACACTTCAGACATCAGCAAGTGCTACAAATAATTCTGATATATTGTTTTGGTGACTGGCTCTAGTAGACTTAAGAAAGTGGAGAAAATGTTAATAATGCAAATTAAACTTTACTAGCTTGCTATGCCGTGCACCCATTCTCTCCTTTCTTCTCTCTCCACCTTCACCCTAGTATAGACCCTTAGCATCTGCCTACACCACTTTTGTTCTTGTTGGTGTCGTTTCAGTCATGTCTGACTCTTCCTGACCCCACTTGGGGTTTTCTTGGCAGAGTTACTGGAGTGGTTTGCCATCTTCTTCTCCAGCTCATTTTACAGATGAGGAAATTGAGGCAAACAGGGTTAAGTGACTTATCCAGTCACAGCTAGTGTCTGAGGTCACATTTGAACTCAGATCCTCCTGATGATCTAGAGCTCTACCCACTGCTCCACCTACACCACTTTGTTAACTTTCTAACAAGTTTTACTGCCACCATTTCTGATCCCTCCAATCCATCCCTTATTGTACACGGTCATGTCATTCCTTGGGTTTAAATCTTTCAGCAGGTCTCTAATGTTTATCAAGTGAAATTCAAACTCCTTACCCTGGTATTCGAGGTTTTCTTTAATGTGGTACCTCCCTCCTTCCTCCCAAGCATTCCCATATTTCTCATTCCCATGTACTCTATGCTCCAGTCAAACTGGACTATTCACCATAACCTGTAAACATCTCTTTTCTGCTTCTGTGCCTCTCATCCTCCCCCTTCTTCACTTGTTTTGTTCCTACTATTCTTTAAAATCTAACTCAAAAGTCACCTCCTCCACAAGGCCTTCCTAGGTCTTTCTAGTCAGTAAGGATCTTTCCCTCCTCAGACCTCAAACTCTCTACGTGCACCTCTCTTACGCATTTATGTACTAAAAGTCCTTAGGTATGGATCCTATCCCTTTGAGTTTACTAGACTATAACCTGACCAGACTGAAGGCAGGGACCATGTCTTACCTAAACTTTCTATCTCACAGTGTGTTCTACTTTCTATCCACAGTGTGTTAATAGTTGTGGCTAAATTGAGTTGAGGCCCTAGGGTCGATCGGGTGGCATCCCTACTCCTGCCTTTCACCAGCCCCCTCCAGAAACAGTTCAGATGACACAATGAGTAAAAGTTTACTAGCAGCAAGTGCTAAGCCTTCAGGTCAAGCCACTCCAAAAGGGTTCTGTCCCCCGCACAAAGCCACAGCTGAAAGGAGCTCCAATGAATCCAGAGATATTATCCAATTCTCACCCTGATTTCCCTTCAAATGGTCACTTAGCTCTTCCTTCTCGGTCCCTGTCTTTTCTTACGGAAACCTCCTACCATAAAGGAGTACCTCATTTTAGGAGTAAGTGCTGGAGCCTTCGGTTCTATCTTAAAACGACAAAAGTATGTTTACTTGTCTATATAACAGGAGATGGTCAAAAAACACAGGTTGGGAACTTGAAAGAAGACTGGACAATTGTAGCATAAAAAAACCCTAACGCGGAGGAAGCAAAGTTCACTCCTTGAGGAGAGATTATAAACTAAAAATATAGACTTGGAAAGGGGATAGATAGAGTCATGGCTGACTGAAACTTTCATGTTTTAAGAGTCAACCCTAGACTCTTAAATTGTGTTCAGGAGGAGAACCACCCTTTTCCACAAGTGTCCTTTAGCGGCCCTATTAGAAAACGAATCTTGGAGGATGGATCGTGGACATATCCAGCATGGCAGTTCTTATGTCCTGGGAGATTACTTTCCCTACAGAACTGGAGAGTTAACCCTAGGTTTTCCCAGGTGTACCCCCGGAGGGACCCAAACCCACCTGTGTGTCTCAGCTGTCCCACTTCGTCCTCACAATAGGCTGTCAAAGTCTCAATTTTATTTTCTTTATTCAATATATTGCACAATCAGGCGTTGAATCCTTAGATCACAACTGAAAATTTAAATTGTTGGGGTGAGGGTGGGGTGAGGGTATCCTTACAAAAAAACAATTATTGCTTCTGAAAAGGACAGGCTGGCTAAGCTTGTCAAGCACCTTGAGGAATCAACATGTGTCAGTGCATAGGTCAGTATTGCTGGAGAAAGGAAATGTGGTAGAGTAATAAGGGAGAAGTGGACTGGAGAACCCTGGGAGACATGAGGAAGAGCAAACGGGGAGGCCTGCTCTCACCTACTGAATGAGGAGGGGCAGGGGAGGCAAGAAGGCGCAATGAGACGCCCATGACAAGATGCCCAGGAACGGGACTCTGGCCTCTCCTCAGGGGACACGACAGCCTGCTAGAGGGCCTGAGCCCCACAGGATCAGTTTCAGTTGTAAAATGTTTTAAGTTACAAAATGGGAGGGAATCCTGCTACAAAGAACAAGGGACAAGTCTGTGGCCAGAGACAAGTTGGTGCATTTGGGAGGTCTTCCTGAGTTGGCGGTGGACAAGATCCTGAGGCTCACAGCTACAGGCCAACTTGAGGGGGCGGGGAGGGGCCTGGAGCTCAGGCAGGGCAGGGGTGGGTTGAGAGAGACATGAAATCACAGTCAAAATCCTGGAACGGTGTGGCCTCCGCCGGGGCAGGAAGGGCAGCTCTCGCCTCCAGGACAAAGGATACTGGCTGCTTCTGTAGGAGCTCGGGGTCAAAGGCCATGCCCCGAAAGAAAGCATGGGCCTGGAAGTGATACAGGTAGCGCAGGCGCTGGGAGGGGTTGTGGCACAGGAGCTGAAGGGAGACAAAGGGCAAGGGGCTGTGTGAGTGAGGAGGCTGATGCCCAGGGACGTGGGGAAGAAGGCGGCGAATGACCATTTGTCAGCCACAGACTGGAGGCAACTCCTGTTAGCTACAGGCCAGAACCTCTGAGGGCCCTTCCCTGGGATACTGGGATTCTGTGTGACTGGGACAAGCAGCAGCCCAAGAGCTGAGAGGACTTGTAGGAACCAATGAGATTGAGGCATCTGGGGCACAGGAAGAGCCCAAGTTTTAGGCAAAATGAAATTTGCCTGAAGGTCAGTGGGAAGTGAGCCATGAGGACGTTGGGCTCTCTCCCAGAGAAGGGAGCAGCAGTGGTCTGAGCCAAACCTGCTTGGGGTAGATGGCCTAAGGAGGGAAGGAAGCTTTTGGGGAGACAGGCAGAGCCAATCAGGAGCTGGAAGGAATAAAGATCAAAGGGAATGAGAAAAGAAGTGAGGCAGGCCAAGCAGAGCTAGAGCCTAGGCTGAAAAATATAAAGAAGTGAAATTTCTCAAGTGCACGTGGAAGGTGGGATTCAGAAGCTGGTGATCAGGAAAGAGTCAGGACCGGGCTACTCTTACCTCCTGAAGCAGAAGAGAAAGCCCCTGGCTAAGAGAAGCTGGGACCTCATAGTCACAGTCAGTCACACTTGCCAACATGGCTACGTGATCCTTCTCAGCCTGCAATGGGAACTAGGACAAGAAAGAATGGGGCTGGAACAGGCCACCTATTACAGGGCCTTTCTTTCTCCCATCTCCACTCCTGACCTCTACTCAGGGTAAAATCCAGGCTCAATGATGGGGGATATAATTTCCTCTCTCTTTCCCTACAAAAGATTTCCTCCTCCCTCCACCTGTCCAATTCTTACCTTTCCAGCTGCCAGGGCAAAAAGCAAGATACCCAGGGACCACCAGTCAACAACATGGTTGTAGGGCCCACCACTCAGGACTTCTGGGGCTGCAAGGAGTAGAGATCCTAATCAACCAACCAACCGAGCAGCCCACATTCATCAAGTGCCAGAAACTACTCTGCTGGGAGCTGGGCAAACACAGAGACAAAGACAGAAACGATCTCTACGGGCCAGGACTTGCCATTCTAATGGGGGAAACGATAAATGCACATGGAAGTACATCCCAAATAAACGTAGAGAACAGATGCAGATAAACACAGAAGAGTTAAATATATAAGGTAGCTCGGAAAAGAGGCTCCACGAAGAAAGTGGCCCTTCTGTGATTTGGTCAGGCAGAGGTGAGGACTGAATTCATCCCAAGCATGGGGAATGGCCAAGGCAACGGTCATCCTCTGTGAGTGCAGAGGAGCAGAGAGAAGGCCCCTGTCGCCACTGCCACCCAGACTCACCTACACCCACCCCTGACCACCCAGTCCCGTCTCCGTCTCACCCATGTACTGGAGCGTCCCGCAGATAGTATAAGCTCGCCCTCCTTGGGGTAGATGTCTTGATAGGCCAAAGTCTGTGAGTTTTAGGTGGCCTTTGAGGAAAGAGGTGGTCATTAACACCACCCACACAGAGGCCTACTCCCCTACCTTTTGTTCTAAGGAAAGCATTCTCTCTGTGCCCCACCTTGAAAATATACCCCCTACTCAAATACACACACACACACACACACACACACACACACACACACACACACATACATACATACACACACACCTACTATTATATATAGGTATTAAGGAGATTTACCTCTTTCATCCAGTAAAATGTTCTCCATCTGAAAGGTTATAAATAAAACATCCAAAAGTACCCTCTCCCATCTTGATGTCTTCCTAACCCCTACCTAAAAAGGGTACCCAACTCCATGTCCCTTTCCTTTTTTTAACACAGCTCTTGATTTGTCCTAAGAACATCTCGGGGGGGGGGGGGGGCAGAGTTGGCTTTGTCCAGCTTGATCACACTAATACTAAGGCCATGAGAAGTTCAAAGTTGGTTCTGGGTACTTGGGCTGAATCCTAGCCTCCCCTCCATCTTGCCCACGCACCAGGATGGAACATGTATTTACCTTTAGGTCTCGATGCACAATGCCCAGGTCATGTAGGTAGCCTGGGGAAGAGAACAAGCTTGAAATGTTCTCCTCCCCCGACCTCCCCCCTTGCCAGGTCCTACCCTTTCCAACTTTCTCATAGACCGCCTCATCCATCTGTCCCTAGCCAGACCCTGTCAGCATCCATTCACCCCAAAGCCTCACTGGGCCTGGCCTCTCCATCCCTCATAGGGATGAGAGCTCCTCCCACATGCTTTTAGGATCCATTCCCCTCGTGCTCCACTTACCCACACCCAGCACCAGCTCAGCAGCAAAGAGGCGGATGGAAGCCTCAGAAAAACAGCCAACTGTGGTCCAGAGAGAGTGCAGGTCTCCTGTGCTATAGTAGTTGTACACTGCAAAGGAGCCCAGGGTCAGGGTCTTACTTTGCCCAGGGCCCAGGGTACCATGGTCTTCCTGCCCAAAATGGCACTACCCTTTTCTCCAGGGCTGGAGGGAGGTGGTCTTACATCCCCAGAGAGGGGTAGGGAAGCGGGGAACTCCCCTCCCATGAATGACAGTGTCAGTCTGGAGACCTTGGGTAGGAGGGCTGAAAGCTAAGAGACCAGGGACGGAGGCTCACTAGTGAAGAGGTGCCGCTGTCCCTGCCAGCTGCCTCCCAAGCCACTCACAAAGGGGTGGCGGATCTGGCGCTGGGGATAAAGAGAACAGGTGGTCAGGTCAAAGGAAGTACTTGTTAATGGAAGAAGGGGATGAGCCAGGCACCACCTGGCTGGGCAGAGTTTGTCTGGCTCACCCCTCAGCTGAGATATACGTGTGCAATTCCTGGCCCTGCCAACTGACCCCCACACCAGCCTGGCACAAGGAGGGCTGAAGGGCTCCCAGGTAGGGCCCTACTTGGCAGAGATGAGGGGATGTCTGGTCAGTGCACAAACCACAATGCTGAGAACTGTTAGCCAGGACTGCTATGTCTATGTGCTCGTATGAGAACAGAGGCAGAGCCAGGAAGGCCTCTACAATCCACAGGGTTGGACCAGGAGGCAGCCCTCCCAGGGCCAGGACTCTCCCTCCACCCCTCAGTTCTGAGTCTTCCTGGGGTGCTCAGTGCCTACCTGAATGCTGACCTCCTCCTTACACTGCCTCAAGCTGTCTCGCTGAAGGACTTCTACCTTGGGGACCACCTGTAGGGGGAGGGCAGAGGCAAAAAGGCACCTGAAATCTCCCCCCTCTACTGTTCCCTCACCCTGGGGACAGGACAGCTAGAGGAAGGCAGTGAGGAGACAGCAATAAAGGCCTTTACCTTCACAGCCAACAAGGCCCCCAGGCCACAATCCAGAACCTTGAGGACAGTCCCAAAGGAGCCCTTGGCCACAAACCCCAGGACCTACAGAGAAATGAAGAGGAAAGCTAAGTGAGTTCTGAGGTGCCCAGGCTTCCATGGGGACGCCACAGGTAGTCTTTGCTGGGGACTTCGTGACCCACCTTCAGCTGCTGCTGCCCCTGGGGGGGCCGGATGGGGAACTCGGGCAGGAAAAGAGAGATGAGCCTCGGCACTGGCCACTCAGACAGAGGCTTCTCTGCTGGCAGCAGGGCTGGCTCCAGGGACCCCAGATGGGGGTACTGGTGCTTCCGCTGTCCCCACAGCTGGTCCAGGCCTGACAGGGTGGTCCCCACACCTGACAAGAGTCTCTTCCAGCTCCGAACCCAGGGGCCCGGGATGGGGGTGATGCTGTCACCCTGCTGAGAGCCAAGGTGAGCTACACTGAGCTCCTTCCGCCCGCTCAGCCTGCTTTTCTCAGCAGGTGCCAGCCCCTTGGGGGGGCCACCCAGCGCAGTGCAGTCAGCTCTGTGTACCAGCCTGTATTCTCTGTTCATCAAACATAGCTTGGTATTGTCTAGTACTGGGCACAAAGCCAGGTTCTCACTCTCGTGGGTCCTGCACAAACCCCTTCTGCACATCCTCTGCTAAGACCACTCATGCCCTCTCCCCTCTCTTTGGTTTTTTCATGGCTCTCATCCTGGCCATCCTTACTATACTCCCCACCCCCAAGCATCAACACTTCCCCTACCCTTGGCATAAAGCTAAAGCTGCCCCTAAATGGGGGCTGGTGCAGCTCTGACCACTTACCTTGTGGGGAAGGGTCTGCCGGCTGCCTGCTACTCCCATCCCGCCAGTGGCTCCCCAGCTGCCAGACCCCTGTGTCCCAGTTACATAAGTAGGCCCACCCCTTTGTGATGCATCATTCATGAGCCCCACCCCCAGCTCCATTATTCATGGTGCCTGCCTCCAGTTCTACTTAGACTTATGGGTACTCATTCCTCGAGAAGAGAAATGCCCCCCACTTTGGAATGAGTGTTTAAAATGCAGGCCTGCTTCCTCATCACTGAAGGAAGGCAATGATTCTAGGCAGCAGAAATGTAGGAAGGTCCCTGTCAGAGGAATGCCCAGGGACACAAGGGATGGGCAGAGGCATCTCTCCCCAGGCCGCAGCTATGGAGCTGGGGCTGGGACTACCAACAGTGAGCACAAAGAGGGGGGTCCACGCATTGGACAGAAGCACCAAACAGCATCAAATTTAAAATCATCTTTCTTTCTTTCTCCTTAAATCCCATTCTGTTACCACCACCACCACCACCACCACTCAGGGCTTGCCCAAAGGGAGAGGGTAAGGGACCCACGGCCAGCTCTGGCACTCAGTGTCATCCTCCCAGCAGAGCTTGGCACAAAGAGTGGGTAGGATGGGAGGGTGGTCCCCCCTCGAGCACACGAAGACCCCTTTCTGTACAAGGCTATAGGGGGTGAAGGGGCTCAGAGGGGATCACAAACCCCACAGCATCCTTCCCCTGGTACATGGGGAGAGGTTACACATAGAAATATTTATAATGTCTATTTATAAAAATGTAACACTTCTGCTCTGCATCTGCTACCCCTTCCCCATTCTCCTCTGGCCCCAGGGGAAGGATCCAGGGCCTACGTCCCCGCTCTGGGCTTTGACCCTGATGCCTCTGATCCTGAGCCTGCTTCGCACAGGAACTGGCAGCACAGTGGCATCAGCCACTAGGCCCTCCAAAGGGAGCAGCACTGGCCCCTCCTCACAGCCTAGCAGGGGTATCATTCCCTAAAGCCCCCACAAATCCCCAGGAAGCAAGGGGGAGTGCCACCCCCTGCCCCTGCCCTGAGTCACGTGGACCCTGGAGCCTAGGGCCAGAGTCCGGTTCTGCCCCACGGGGGCTTTCCCTGCTCATTTTCTCCTGCTGAAAATCGACTTCTTGCTAGGGTTCTTGTCACCCACGCTCAGCCCAATGAGGAGCCGGGCTTTCTCATCTTCCTCCTGCTGCGGCACGTTCAGGTCTGACTTTGTTTCAAGCTTTCCTCGGGTCTCAGACCCTGCAGCTGGTTTCAACCTTAGCTTCTCCTTGATTACCTGGGAGGATTGGGAGAAGGGGGGTCGAGGGTCAGTGAGTCGGACAGAAAACATTTAAGTCTGCTTAGAAATACTTCCTGAGCACCTGATCTAATGGGCATTCGCCGGGCTTGGTTTTATGGCGGCTGCCCTGCCTTCAAGTCTATAATCCACAGCCAGGTCCCTAATGAGTGGCAGGAAGGACTCCCCTGACATAGTTGCATGTATTCAAATTTTCACTCTTTGAAGAAATAATTATATAAACTATGTATATGAAATGTGGAAATATGCAGAGTAAAATCAAATAATGCTACCTCATCAGGGGTTTAATTACTGACACTAATCAGGAGCTAGCTGGAGTGGCCTACCTGGAGCTCCCCCCATCAGCGCCTTGTTCTCAAGGCTCATGTTTACACAGCTGTTTAACAGTTTATAAGTTTTTCTTACAACAATCCCATGAGAAAGGTATTCATAAATGTACAATTTTACACTCTAAAGTCTAACAAAGTTTGCTTTCTTTATACCCACCCTGTAAGAAGGGCCTTTACAGAATTTAAAAAATTGTCTTTATAGACAAGGACACAGAGCTTGGAGAAATTAAACTGACTTGTCCAAAGTCACAAGTATTGGGGCAGAGACTTGAACCCGAGTCTTTCCACCTAACAATTCTGTCCCCCCCAGTGCTATGAACAGAGTAGAAGTACTCAGTAGGTACCTGCTGAATGAATTAATGAACACAGTCACAGGGGAAAGGGGAGAGGGACTGGAGGTGACAAGCAAAGGAAACCTCTAGCCTCACCCAAGTCTGTGCCTCGGTGCTGGGCTGTCCATGGGCTTGCCATAGATCCCCAGGCCCCACTGACCTAGCAAGCCCAGCCACACACCTGGGCAACCAGGGCTTTGCGGCTATCCCTCTTTACAGCCATGGCGAAGTCCAGCCACGTCCAAGTGTTGTTGTGATACTCTAGACACGGCAGCACGAGTTTAAGGTCACCCCAATCCACACTGTTCTTCTCGCCCTGGTGGGGAGGGGAGAAACAGAGAGGAGACTCACGCGCCCATCGAGGAGCAGCCTGGCCGCCAGCACTCTGCAGAGACCTCTGATGCTGACTGCCCCTCCGGACACAACAGGAGTGGGGTCCCCCAGCTGCTTAGGCCAGAGTGCTCCAGAGCTCACCAGGCATTCCGGCTCACGGATTCTGAACCAGCTCCCAAGGGAGCAGAGCTCCTCCCACCGGCCCCAGGATGCCCGGGGGAGCTCCAGACCTTGTAGCTGACACAAAGTGGAACCTGTGGGATCTTGATGTAGATGAAGGAGTTGTTCATGGCTGCCCGTTCTTTCATTTTATCAATGTCATCCACAGGGTGCTGAGGAAGGCAGAAGAAATGAGAACCATCCAGGAGTCACGAGTGAGCGGGGTGTTGCTCACATGCCCCTCCCTCTGCCCTCACATCTATCTCAAGGGAAGCAGGGAGAGATTACCCTGAGTGGCCTTCCCACCATTCAGCCATCCCCAGGATATACTGGGTACCTCAGGTGCTCTGCGGAATGACCTCCTGACCCCAGAACCACGGTTCAGGCCCTGGGCCACACCCTTTCCAGGGCCCAGAGACACTGTGTCATCTGTTGTGATCAGCTGCCGTGGCTTCACCACTGGCATCCCTACAAGAGAGCGAGCAGGCCGGCCATCACCCTCTTTCCATGGCTGAGGCTCCTTCCTGGGGCTGCCACCCCGCTCTGCTGGAGCCCCATCCTGAGGCCCTCACCCGTGGTCACAAGCTTGGACTTGTCCTCCTCATCGCCAACTTCCTCATCCTCCATGCTACGACCAGGAAAGAAAAAGCCCATCATTCTATGGAAGAACTGGTGTGTCAGCTGGATGGTGAGGGGAACCACATTGACCTGCAAGAGATAGAGGCAGGAGGATGCTTTAATGTCCGTCAGTCCCTCCAAAGGACTCAGAGACAGCTCCAGAGGACCCATGATTAAACAAGTTTCCATCTCTTCACAAAGGTGATGGATGGAGGGTGCAAACTGAGACGTGCTTTTTAGACTTGGCCAATGCGGGAATCTGTTTTGCTTGACTATGTACATTTGTTACAAGGGTTTTGTTTTTCTTTCTCTTTTTTTTTTCTGTGGTTCAGGGAAGATTGAAAAGAGAAAGGGGATTTTGTTCATTAAAAACAAAAATAAAGTCAGTTTCTTATATACATAAAATCAAAAATCATACTCTGATAAGTGGTCAATAGATAAGAAAAATGTTTCTCAAAAGAACTGCAAAATACTAATAGCCATATGACAGAATGCTCCAAATCACTAATATTGAGAAATTTAGATCAAAACAACTCTGAGGTTTCATGTCACACTCAACAAAAACAAATTGAAGAAGATGACAAAATATGGAAATAGTCAACTTTGGAGGAGTTACGCAGAGAAATGCACACTAATGAAGTTTTGATGGAATTGCAAATTGGTCCAATCATTCTGGAAAGCAATCTGGAATTATGTAAAGAAAGTGACTAAAATGTCACTTTGACCCATATATTTTAAAGCTAGGTAAAGAGGTCCCCAAAAAGGTCAATGACAAGACAAAAAAAGAGGCATCGAACACAATAAAATATTCATAGCAGCAAAGAGCTGGAAACAAAGCAGATGTTCATTGACCCGGGAATGGTTAAACAAAGGACATGAATGGAATGGACACAGAGAAGCCTGGAAGACATACATGTGCTGATGCAGAGAGAAGTCCGCACAACCAGGAAAACAACACACATACTGACTACAGTAACGGGAATGAAAGAACAACAAAATAATCAGAACTAAAGGCAGGGGAAATGAAATGGTCAACTTGGCCCCAAAGAAGAGATATGAGAATGCCCCCTGGAAGGAGTGGGGGACAATGAGAGTGGGCTACTGCTTATAACATCGATGTGTTGATTAGTTTTGGTTTTTTTCCTTTTTTTTCTTTCTTTTTTCACATTATAGGGGACCTTTCTCTGAGAGGGAGTGGGGAGAGGAATACAGTGGGAAATATAAATTACATAAAAATAAAAATATTAATAAAAATTTATTTTAAAAAAAGGCATATGAAAAACAAAGTTGGTTGCTCTCCCTTAGCCAAACCCTGCTGTTACAAGGGTTTTGACAGCCCCGTCTTTCAGCCCCCCTCAGACTCTCCAGGAGCCAGGTTTACCTCACCTCAAAGTGCTCCTTGACGGAGATGCCCCCGACAGGAGGCCGGACTTTGCTGAACAGGCGCAGGGCCAGCTGCCGGCCAGACTGGCAGGAGCTCTGGGGCCGCAGCACCACCTGTGGGGTGTGAAGGGTCAGACTGAAGATCCACCCAGCGCCCTCTGGCACCTGCTTTGTAGGGAGAGCCAGGTGAGAGGTCCTGGGCCTGCAGCACACTCTCTCCCTGCTCTCGGAGGGCGGAGCAGCGGGAAGGACACTTGCCTTGTAGACCGCGTTGGGCAGGAGGTTGTTCATCGTGAACCAGCCCAGCTCCAGGAGATGTTCAGCTGTGTCATCAGACTTGTTCACCTGTTAAGACAGACACGGCCCCCTGCAACAAGCTTCTCTCAGGGCTTCGCCAGAGGCCCTCTCCAGGCTGTGGGCCTTGGCACTACCTTGCTATAGAGGAATCGCTGGAGCTCCAGCTCGGCAATGCCCAGCTGCCCATCCTCCTCAGTGAGGCGCCATCGTGCCTGGGCAAAGTAGAACTCTGTGCGGCGGGCCACACTCACATCCTCCTGCTGCTTTCGAAGTTCCATCTTGTTGGCCCGTTGGAGCTGGAAGTCTTTAAAACACCTGACGGCATGGCGGCAAGGTCAGGAGACAGCAGACAGAGCCAGAGCCAGCTCGGTCAAGTGTGTGCGTTAGGGTATCCCAAACTCCAGACAGATTCACCCTCCAGTCTGAGACCGTCCCCAGCCCTGGACTCACTGCCCCACCCACAGGGCCACATGAATCCCAATCCTGTTTCTCAACTCTGCTTTATCAAGAAGCCACAAGCTTTCTCTCTGTGACCAACGCCAATATTTAAGTGGCAATCATGCTCTACTGCTGAGCAAATTCAAGATAGAGTTTCAGGGGAAGAGCCATGGTTTCAAGGCTCCCAGCCAGATGGGGCTTGGCTCTTCCCCAAATATCCCTGCGGGACTCCCTCAGAACCATCTGTCCCTGGATACAACCTGCTCGGGAGCCAAAGGGAGGGAAGGGAGGAAGCCAACTCCAGTTATCAGCTCCTGACCAGAGGCCTGCCTGGGCCCTCCCAGAGGGGACAGCCAGGAAAAAACCCACACCTACTGCTTCCCCTTGTCAGAAGGCTCCCTGCCCCGGAGGCTGGTGTGAAACAAGGGCAGATGAGCGCCCTGGCTGGCGCACCTGATGAGAATATTCAGCTCCTCACTCTCCAGCTGCAGGTCAGCCTTCTCCTGGCTCAGCTTCTGGTTCAGGTCAAGGAGGTTTTCATTCTTGCTGTCATCCTGCAGAGACTGGGAACCAGAGTGGGCAAGAGTGAGCAGGAGATCCCTCCTGCAGCTGGGAGCCCCCTCCAGCCCAGGGCTCTCTGCACTCTGTGCCCTGACCTTCATGATGGAGTACATCTGCTTCTCAAGCTGCCGGATCTGAGCCACGTGCTGCCGCACAGCCTCCTGTAAGTGCAGGATACTGCTACGCTGCTCCTCGGGGTTGCTGGAGATCTCCAGCTGGAAGCGAACCCGCTGCTTTTTCTCACTGTGCTCCTAAGAGAGAGGGGCCAGAACGAAGCCCGTGGGTGCGTATGGGCACGTGTGGGCCTGGGGTGAGAGCTTCTCTCCTCTCAGAAGCTTCCTGAGAGGAAGCAGGGAAAAAAGGGACCTTGGAGCAGGGATCTCCTGATCACTGCCACAGTTCAGGTCCATGGAGGTGCTACAGTGGTATTCAATGGTGACTGGGGACAGGACTAAGAAATCCAGTCCTTTATTGGTTTGGGAAGGGAAAGGCTAAAGCCTGTGCAAGATGACTGAGGGTCCGCTACTCCTAAGCCGTGGAGGACTTTTCCACCTCAGGGCAGAAGCGCAGCACTGCAGCCTGCAGCCTAACCACGCACTCCCAAAAGAAGCACAGGACCTCGGGACCCCAGCGAGGCTTGGCCTGCCATAAAGAAGCCAGGCTCACCTTCCGCTTAGGCTCCACGTGCAACAACAAGTTGTTGACAATGTCCAGGATCATGGCATACTGGGCTGGGTTGGTAGAGATCTCCAGTTCATGGTGGATGAGGGTGAAGGTGTCCACGGCCCCTGTGACATTAGCTGGGATTTTAGTAGGAAGTCCGAGACCCTCCCTGAAAATCCTCTCCACCCCAAAGCCTCACAGAGCCTGTACAGAGGTAGAAACATCCCACTCTAGTTCTATCGATGCCATGAATAGGGCCCTCTAGAACTGATGCTGTTTCTAAGGCAGAAATATAAAGCCAGAGGCACCAATACCCTGAGGTGAGCCCTGGAGGGGGTAATGACCAGCTGGTACATTGGTTAACATACAAGTCTCAGGCCCCAGCAGGGGGTGACCCTCCCCATTCTGAGAAGCCCCTAAGCTCTTGCACACCCTCCTGTTTCTTCAGCAGGTCCTCCTTTTCTTCCTGCTGCTCATGGACCTCAGGTGGCTTGATCTGGGTGGCCAGCTCAGGGTCAATGTCATGGCTGTAGCTGATGTAATACATCCGGCAACTGCAGCGGGAGATGATCCGCTGCACTTGCTGGGCTTGCTGGGCCTCCGCCGGCTGGTTCCAGTCTGGGCAGGACAGAAAACCTGCTTACGGTATATTCTCCTCCACAGAGGCCATCCCTCTGACTTACATCTAAACAGCCATGCCTAAGAACCTTTGCTTCTAGCTATGCAAGACCAAAAGACTCCAGAAAAACTACCAGAAACCCAGAGACAGCCATCCGGCCTCATTCCAACCCTATCAGGCCCCAGGACCTTCCTCGGCACCTGACCAACCTGTGGTGGTGCTGACCATGCCGCCCACAGCCTGCCCGCTTTCCATCAGCTCCTGCACGGAGTCCAGACTGCGCTCCCGATGCTCCTCAATGTTCTTCACCTGGCGAGGAAGAGACGGGCATCTTCAGCCATGACAGTCACAGACATTACCTGGGCAAAGAGGCTCTGGTCCCAAGCCAGGAGTAGGCAGCACTTCTTCCAGTCCTCTGACTCCCAGATCTCTACGGGACCCCCAAGGGAGAAGTCAAACTGTGCCCTTCATGGTTTTGAGGGCCGTTGGTCCTTCGAGCCTGGCCTTGAGCCTTCCAAGGACATTGGCTATGATTGTAAACTCTCCTTTCCCAAATTCCCTGTTGGCAAGGACGGTTGGGAGACATGTTCAGCTAAGGATGCCTTTAGACCAAACAGGCACAGAACGCCAGATCCCCAACCCTGAGGCCTAAGAATAAAATCGGACATCAGACTTTGGACAGTGCCAACTTTCACTAAACCTGAACCCTCTCTGTTCATAGTCCCATGGTTCTCTGTGGACACAGATAATGGTGAGGTGGGCTGGTGAAACTGGGGCTGACATTCACTTCAATCTGCCAGGCAAGACGCAGAGCCAGGAGTAGAATGAGGACAGCGTGCACAGCCTCATCACTGGAAAAAGGGAAAACAACATGGAGCCATCAAACTCACTGACTGACTCACCGAGGACCATCTCTGTGAGAAAGGCGCCATCACGCATCCCTCTCAACAGCCTGGGGACAGCGTCCCAAAGCGCATCATCCCTGGAGGCTGCAGCGGCCACCGCCCGAGAAAGCGGGCTTCGGTACAAGGCTCAGCGTGCCCGAGATAGGCACAAAAGCCAGGCCTCTGCATCCCAGCTCCCCAAGGCCGCTGCAGCAGGGAGAACAGGTGCTCTCTATGTCTGTGTGCTGCCAGGGGCACCGTTGGCTCAGACCACTACTGCTACAGAGCAGCTCAACATCCTAGTGCCACCACCCTGCCCATCCCATCCAGCAGGACATCGGATTGGACAATTTCTTACCTCCTGCATAGTTACGCTGGATGTTCCCTATATGGGGCTCCACTGTCATGGCAGTGAGACACCTCAGCTGGAGCGAGGGAAGAGGGATCAGCTTTAACCCCAGAGGACAGACTAACAAGTGTGACTTTTGCTTTGGTGCTTATCAGGGAATGTGGCTTAGGGAGAGTGGCAGAATTCCCTTCTTTGGCTGTACTTGCTCATAACTAATGGCACTAACGTCCGCTATCGGCTGAGGGAGCTTGCAGGTGTCCCACCATCACTCTCCCCTCCTGAGAGCTGGGTCTCCTGCTGCTACAACCTCCAGGTGGCTTCAGCAAGAGGTTAAGAACAAAGACAGGGTGGTATCATTTCCTGTGGCTCTGCTCCCAGCTCATTCCCTCTCTATTCCCCACAGCACTGCCTCTCACAGGCCTAAGCAAACAGAGCATCTGCATGATGGGAGCACATTCTGAGCTCCCCGCAGATGAGCCCTAAAATCAGACCTGCTCTCACCTGACAAATGCAATCAGCTGACACACAGCGATCACAAGAGGTCAGACACAGCTAACAACATTTCTCAGAATAGCAGAAGCTCTCAGGCCTCAGCACCTGCTTTGGCTCCCCACCATGGTGTTTGGGCAATTCAACAAGCAGGTGTCAAAAGCCTACCAAGCTTTGTACTATGTGCCGAGGGTACAAGGACAACAGTGCAGGAGAAGCTAAAAGGCATCGAGGCTCTACAAGCTCGGAGCCCCTGTCATCATCACTACACTCGGCCAGAAGCAATGGGCAATAGGAAGAATTTCCCCAGCTGTGCTGACCACTGCAAAGGCTGAGGATTCATTTCACTCATTCAGCACAAGCTGACGAAGTCCCTAATGTGTGCCAGGCACTGGGTGCCCAGAGACACAGAAACAAATGAAAGAGTGGCTGCCCTCAAGAAGCTTACATTCTACTGGGGGAAACACTAGGAACATAAACTATTAAGCACAAATACATGCAAAGTAATTTCTGCAGAGAGGGCCCTACCAACTGGTGAGAAGGGAGGGATAGTCTGGACAGTCTTCTTATGGGAGGTGGAGAGGATGTGGGTATGAGTGGGCATACCATCTAGGTATCCAAAGATGCAGAAGTGGGAGGACAGCAAGCTCTCCCCTGATAGGATATACACACAAGAAGCCTGGAAAGGCAGCCTGGGGTCAGAGGTCAAAAGTTTTGAAGAACCAAAGAGGAAATTTTGTATATATTTGATCCCAGAGGCAAGAGGGAGCCAGGACTGACCTCTGGTAACAGGAAAGACATTGCCTGGTTCTGCTACATGGGGGTGCACTGACCTCCAGCCAGAGTTGCCGGTCATCACGCTCAGTAGGGCTGCTCTCAGTGGTAGCAAAGTACTGCATGCCATCCAGGAGACACGTCCAGGATGTCTTCTGCTTCAGGGTATCGCCATACCAGGCCGGGTGGTGTTGGCACTGAAGTAGCTGGGCTTTGGCCGCAGATACAATGACACAGCCCTCTGTCTCTGCACCTCGAAGAACCATCTATGAGCAAAGAAAAGAAGCTGTCAGGCTGACAGCTGACCACTGAGGAAGAGGGGAAATAAGCCCAAAGAAGATACCCTCCATGGCAGCTGAGGTTTCATCCTGCCACTGACCAGCTACAAAAGTTTGTAGTTAGCTAAAATAATTGATGCCCTTCCACTGGGGAATGACTAAACAATCTGTGGAATATGATTATGATCAAAGACAACTGTGATAAAAGAAATGATGAGCTGGTTGTTTAGAAAAACATGGAAACACTTGGACCTATGAAAGAAGATACTATCCGCCTCCAGAGAAAGAACTGACAAATAGAAATATGGACAGTGTGGTCTTACATATATGTATATGTCTATACATACATACATAGATGTATATACATTTATTTATATATATATACATATATACATACAGTCAGGTTTAATTGTAGCTTTCCCTAGGGCAAGGGGAGGGATAGGAAGGGAGAAAAAATATGCACAGCAGAAAACAAAAGAAAACCTAGAAGGAAGCACAGAAAAGCTGAGTAGCTTTGAAAACAGTGTGTCTATGTATTACATAGGTTTTCTTGAAATAGAAACTTATTGTTTGATACTGAATCTTCTCTTACTGTGTACTCTGCTGTGTACATGGAAATGTTCCTTTTTTTTTCTTTTCTCATTTTGTATTTAAATTTAAAATGAATAAAAAATTAAAAAAAAAAAGTTTATACCAAATCCTATGGCCGGTCCATGTCTCTGGCCCCCAACCCCCAGAGCACCGCTGGCCCTGCCTGCCAGTCTCCTGCAATGCCTCCCTGTGCCCATCCCCAGAATTCACAACAGGCCCCAAGAAGCGGCACCAGGAAGGGCCAAGTACCTCAACCTCTCTGGCTTTCAAAGATGGGAATGTCTGTTAGCACAGTGGCCTCTTCCTGGTGGAACAGGGATTCTCAAACTGGGGCCCGTAAGTTTTTTTAAACAATAATTTGGTAACTGTCTGTTGACATAACTGGTTTCCTCTGCAATCCTATGTATTCTGTTTTAACATCTGCAAGGCTTCCCCAGGTCAGTGCCAAGCAGGCTCCCAATTAGATGGAGCATTCTCTCTGACCCCTTCCTCCCGGGGGCTGCTGGGGGACAGCGACAGTACCTGGCAGTTGACCAGTTCAATGAGGCAGTTGCGGTTGAAAATGTCGTCTGTCTGACAGGCGGCAATGCCGCACAGCTGCTCGCTGACGCCCGACTCCTCTTCCGTGAACACCACAAATTTATCTGTCTCCTCAATCAGCTTCTGCAACATGTGGGCACCTGACAGGGAAGAAGAGGGCCACAGTCAGAGGAGGAAGGAGTCACATTCAATTCCCTACTGCTGAACCAGAAAGCACATGCAATTCTCTTCTCCCCTTCTCTCTCTGCAGCCCCCAGGCCGATTACCCTCCTTAAGCTATCCCCCTCTCTCCCCACATCCTAGAACTTTCCTCGAGGTCTCTGTTCTGGGCCCTTTAATGCCCCAGTCCTTGAGGTATGAAATGCAACTGGTTCAGCCTAGAAAAATGAGCTGACAGAACAAGCAGAAAGAAGGTACTAACAAGGCAAAATTCTCTCCTGTCTCTGCTCTCTTCACTATCGAGGAGGCACTGGTTGCTGGGATGGAAATAACAGTGATCCTGCCCTAAGTGACGACTTCATCTCAGAATGTGTGGCAGGGAAGGAGAAGAAAGTTAAGCAGAGTCTGACATGCAGAGAGCATATTTCAAAGGGTCTAGAGAAAAGACAAGTAGGATCCCACGGACACGGGAAGTCGAGCTGGCCGAGATGGGAAGCTCAATGACAGTGATGAAGGCACGGAAACAATTCTAAGGAAGAGGAAAAAGAGTTGCCTGAAGAGATCCATGTGGATACCCAAGGAAACACCCAATGCACTTGGACTCTAAAGAGACGTGCACAGAAGATGGGAAGCAGGCAGGCTCACGGAGGGTAAGCACAAACGTACGGATGGTCCTGCCCCCTAGGCAGGGCGCCACTGGAGCTAATGCTCAGCACCAGCTGAGACTGGCAAGGAGACAGAGGGACAACAGCAAGGGGCCGTCTTCAGGCTATAACAAGGGAAATGAGCCTGGAAGATGACCAGGGCAGCACGGGGGGGTGGGAGGAGAAGCTACCAGAGCTGCACCATTCCCATCTCATTTCGTTTCTCTGCCCAGGTGAATGACCTTTGAACTGGAAGAGGAGGAACAAAGAATGACTAGCAGGGGCTGAGACCCCAGACAAGTAGAGAGCAGGACTAAGAGGGCACCGGGCTAGCTGCCTTCATGAGTCCAGGCCAGTGAGAGCAGTGCCTGGAATCAGAAGAGTCAAACGCTGCCCTCCGGCGGAGCCTGCCGCTTCCCTCCAGGCTGATGCGGACACGGTCCCTTCCCCTCTCGCTCTTCCATTTGGTCCATGTCTACAAAGCATCTCACATACATTAGACCCTCACCAATTCTCTTAGGCAGGCACTAATTGTATACATCCATCGTCCAGCTGACGGCACTAAGGCTCACAGACGTTATGGGATGGCCCAAACACAGAGAGTATAAGGCAGATTAGAATCCAGGCCTCTACTCATTTGGAATTGAGTGCTGCCAGTAAAGGCAGTAGACAACTTCTGTCGGTCTCAGTTTCCTCATCTATAAAATGAGAAAGATGCACTCCTGGGCAGATACCAAAATATTCAAAGCAATTCTTCTTTGTGACAGCAGAAAAACAGAAACAAAGTGGGTACCATCAGTCAGTCAACCTTTATGAAATGCTTACAATGTGCCAGGCCCAAGGAAAAGCACAGGAGTTACCAAGAAAGATAAAAACTGTCCCTGCCCTCAAGGAGCTCACATTCCAAAGGAAGAAACAAACATGAAAATAACAGGCCCGTACACAAAGCTAATGGAAAGTCGTCTCGAAGATGAATGCCATCAGCAGCTGGGGTTTGGGAAGGCCAGGAAAGGCTTGAAGAAGGTGGGGTCTAAGCTACATCTTGAAGGAAACTCAAAGGCAGAGGTGAAGACAAAGAGCATTCTGTGCAAGGATGAGAGTCACTGCAAAGGCACAGAGATGGGAGCCAAGAAGGACAGGTCCCAGGAACAGCAAACTGCACACACTGGCCTACAGGGTTAGTAGAGCAAAGTGTAAGATGCCCAGAAGGCAAGAACGTGCAAAGAGATTCAAATGGGAAGCAGAGCACTTGATTCTGGAGGTAGGTGGGAACCACTGAAGTTTCCTGAGCAGAGGGGTGCCGTCAAATGAGGAATGTCTGAACCAACTGTGACGTATGAATGTAATGGAATCTTATTGTACTGTAAGAAAAGATGAACATGAGAAACTGGAAAATGTGGACAGACTTTAGGAAGTATTTCAGAACCAGGAGAACAATAAGCCTAATGATTCCAACATCATGACCAAACACTACAGAAACATCCAAGGAGGGGGACTCCACATGAAGGGGACACCCTGACTACATGGGGTGACGGTGCTGGTTGGTTCTGTATGTTTTTCTTTGTCCTGCATTTGAGGAGGTAAGGGTGATCTAAATAGAAACGACTGTGGTGTGAAAACAAGAGGCAACAATAAAACTGAAAATCAATAAAAATAAGAAAATGAGGGAGCAGTACCAGACGACTGCTAGGGTCTCACCCCTCTCAACCCTGTGATCTTAGATATAATCAGCCTTGTCATGCCCACTGGCGTCTCACCCCCTCCAGCTCACCTCCTGAGGAGCTCTTTTCAGGCCCTCTGCTGAGGCTGGGAGTATTGACCTGAGGCGGGGTTGGAGGGTTAGGCAGGATACCCCGCTTCGGCTTTTTGGCTGGCAGCTGAGGATCAATCTTTAACCCCTTCAGGGCCTCTGTGGAAAGGTTTCGTTTAAGCACAGCTGCCTTTTTGTAGCCATCGTAGAGGCCAAAGGCAATGTCCCTGTTGGTGGTGGTCCAGGAAGCCCGCAGGTCCACTAAGTGCAATTGGTGGGTATGAAAGGCAGGGTCCCCATCTCGGGAGGAGAGCTCCTGAGGAAAGAGGAACAGCTGAATGAAGAAAGGTCACGTGGGGGCCTAGGATTCCCACTTGGGGCTGTAGGCATGCAAGGGCACAGAGAGCAGCACAATTGAAAATGAAATCTGCTTGGGGCAAACAGGAAAGATATAGAGAGAGGGGACTGAGAGGTTGCCTTTACTGACTAAATTATATACTTGGACATTAGACCTCAAGACTGAGAACGCACTTTTAAATGATTCAACATGAAAACCCAATCTAGATGGAAAAACACTTCCAGACAAAGGAGTTACGGAGAAATTGGGATCTATGCTCCACTCATCTGTGGGGCTGGGAGAAAGCTCAGAATCCAGCTAGGAATTGTGATGGAGCTCAAAGAGTTGAGAAGGAACTCTCAGAGCCAAGAGGATACCTCTTCAGCAGTGCGGTTGCTATGCCGCTGGTAGGTGAGGGAGGACAGGCTCAGAAGGTGGGTCTTTGTGACTAGCAGATCAAGGCGGTGGTCAGAGCTCTCGTCACTAGGTGAAGCCATCAGATGCACCGTCACCTGACTCAGGTCGCTCACCATCTGCGTCACACTCCATTCAGAGATGAGGCGTCGCATCACGGTGCCCGCTGTGAGGTGTGAGATGGGCGCTCAGGATTGATTGGCAAGCATACTGGGATGGGTGTGGGGAGGCAGAAAGGTGCGTGAATGGGCAGAGGCAGGAAGGTACGGAGAAAAGGAAAGAAGGCGGGAAGAAAGAGACCGAGGGGCAACTGGCCAAACCTTGAGGTATAAGTCGCTGGGTTCCCCGAGTGAAGACATGGCCCTGGTTGCACTCAACCTGAATGCCCCGTTGCTGAGCAAATGAGGCCCAGTAATGCACCTAAAGAAATACAATACAAAAGATATGATAAGTTTTCAGGTAAAGTAATCAAAACTATCTATAGTCATATGAAAAAATTATTCTGACTCACTACTGATTGGAGAAATGCAAATCAAAATAATTCTGAGGTACTACATCATGCCTATTAGATTGGCTAATAGGATAGAAAAGGTAAATGACAAATGCTGGAGGGGATGTGGGGAAAATGAGACATTAATGCACTGTTGGTGGAGCTGTGAACTGATCCAACCATTCAGGAGAGCAACTTGAAACTACGCCCAAAGGGCTATAAAACCAGGCATACCCTTTGACCGAGCAATACCATTACTAGGTCTGTATCCCAAAAGAGATAAAAAACAAAAAGGAAAAGGACCTACCTGTACAAAAACATTTATAGCAGCTCTTTTTTGAGGGCAAAGAATTAGAAGTTGAGGGGATGCCCATCAAGTGGGGAATGGCTGAACAAGTTGTGGTATGTGATTATGATGGAATACTATTGTACTCTAAGAGATGATGAGCAGGATGCTCTCAGAAAAACCTGGAAAGACCTGCATGGGCTGATGGAAAATGAAATGTACTGTGTACAAAGTAACAGCAATATTGTAAAATAATCAGCTGTGAATGACTTAGTTATTCTCAGCAATACAACGACCCAAGACGATTCTGAAGGACTTGTGATGAAAAATGCTATCCGTCCCCAGAGAAAGAACTGATAGTGTCTAAATACAGACTGAAGTAAACTTTTTTTTTACTTTATTCTTTTCTTGAGTTTTTTTTTTGTCTGTTTTCCTTGACAACATGACTATTATGGACATGTTTTGCATGACTACACATGTAGAACCTATACTGAATTGCTCGCCTTCTCAATGAGGGGAAGGGTGTGGGGAGAGAGGAAGGGAAGAGAATTTAGAACTCAAAGGTTTAAAAACGAATGTTAAAAATTGTTTTTTCCTATAACGGGGGAAAAATAAAGTACTAAATAAATTTTAAAAAGCAGAAAAAAAAGAAAGAATATGAGATTGAGAAAAGATGAGCCAATAGGTGACCAAGAGTGGAATGAGGGGTGGAAAGGACAGACTCTGGGGCCCACAGCGAGAAACTAAGACGCAGGGGTGGCAGACAACCTAAGACAATGTAAGGCAAAGTCCAGACGAGCCTAGAGGGACCAGAGGCTCTGCTGGAGAAGCTGCAGGGAAGTCTGGCTCCGACCTGCAGCTGGGGGAAGAGAGCTGTGTAGGAAAGCTGCTTGTAATGCTGGCCCAGCTTCTTCTTGCTAGGCTTCATGTTACTGAAGAGCTTCCCTCGACAGATGGGCCGGGTCACGCTGGTCCACGTCGCCCAGAAGTTCTGCATCCATCGAAGAGTACTGCTATACAGCAGAATCCGGGGCTGGGACATTGCTGCAGATGCAGAGGAGAGGAAGGCCTCAGCCGCAAGCCTGGTTTCAGGGGGGCATAGCAACACAACTGGAACCGCCCTGGTGATGAGGAACCAAAGTCCCGAGACAACGTGTGCCAAACCAAATCCCCCTAAGTTTTCTCTCGTTTGCCGGGGTCCCAGCCCACGCCTTGTACCCCCCTGCTCCCAGCCTTACTCCCGCTGTGCCAGGTCAGGTCCATCTTGATGGAGAGGTTGAGGTTCTCAGATCTGAAGGCCCGGTAAGAGTCATGGAGCTGGCCCTGGGACACCTCAGGCAAGAACTCTGGTGCTCGAAGGATGACACTGTGGTGGTCATGGGGGTTGCCATGGCACAACCACTGCAGGTCCAGGGTCATACAGAGGTCAGGCAAGTGCAGGAAGCAGCAGTCGTCATATCTGCCTCACAAAGGAGCCCCTGGCTCTCAGGGTCCCGTCCCCTGATGCCCCGATTCATCCCTTCCCCTCCCCCCCGAAACCGAGGCCGTGCCCAGCACTCAACTCACTTGGAGGCTGTCCTCACATTGACGTCCAAGTCCCCCTTGAACACAAACTGGCCTGGTTTCCAGTGAAAAAACAGGTGGCTCCACTCCCAATGCATATTTTCAGTTGTATTATAGGGATCCTGTAAGCATCTCACGGACTTAATGAGGTTTCAGGAAAGGGACCACCCCACCCCCCACACATGTCCTACAGCACTGAGCTCCAAGCATCCATCATTACAATCGCATGAGATGAAAATGAAATCAGCAGGCTCCCTGCCCACCTGCTCACCTCTGTAGCCAGCTGATGAAGGTTGGCTTGTTCAATGTCCATGTGCCAGTCGCCATGGAAAAGCAAGCGGCTCTTGTCCCACCAGGGCAAGGGGGCACTGGGGTCGGCTGAGGGCTTTGTCAGGAGGTCCACAGACTGGCCAATTAATGTCCAGGCGGGGTCCCAGCATGGCCCCCACACCACTGTGTACTGGAAGACCTCAGCTGGAAGGAATGTTAGCCAGTCACGCATAGACATTCTACCAAAGGCCCAGGTTCCTCCCGTCTTGGAGATGAGCTTCATCTCACTGCCCACCCTCTTCATCACAGATATCTCCCCTCCACACCAAACTCCCTAGCTCTCTGTAGTCCCCACACCCACTCACAACGAAAATCATGGTAGAACTTGAGTGGGGGCATGTTCCTTTCCACAACCACATCACTCCAAGGGAGACCCAGATGCAGGGTCTGTCGCCGTCGGGAGCAGGGCTGTCCCATCTGCTCTGTGCCCACCAATCGGCCTAGCAGCCTCCAGTCACGAATCTCAAACAGGTAGCGAGGGTAATCGCGGATCCGCACTGCGTGGAAAGACACACGCAGGAAGGACACTCAGGAGCTGTGCCCTCTCCCTTGGGTTCTCTCATTCACCCATTCAGCTCAAGGCAGGCCCTAGGATGCCCCGCTGGAGTGGCAAAACCACAGAGCAAGGCATGGGGAAGGGCACAGAGCACCCTCTAGCACAGGAGAAAAGACCTGCCCCCAAGGGGCACCTCTAGCCCATAAAGGCCCACATGAAAGGAGAGGGAGCCCATTCACCTTAAGCCACGCAGGGTTCCAAATGTGAGGGGGGCAGGGTTTTCCTAGCCAAGACCGCAACCAGAGCTTTCCAAAAGTCGGCCAGCCAGACAAGAGGCTCGGCAGGGGGAACACCACTCACCTAGGAAGGACTTAACGTTGCATTTGAGCATACGACACCACTGAATGGCAAGTTCAAGGCCCTCACTGGGGAAAGGGCTGCCGGGGTCCAGCTCCCGCATCTGCATCAGCACACGCTCGGGCCCGTGGAAGGAGGCGTCCGCCAGGGCCACCAGCTCCAGCCCGGCCAGGCTCCAGGTGAGCAGGGCCCGGCGCATGGGCGTGTTCCCGTAGAGACGGCGTGAGCGCTGGATGTAGATCTCGATGTTCTTGCGCTCCAGGGAGGCGTAGAGCTCCTCGATCTTGCGGGCGGGGAGCAGTTCCCCATGCTGCTTGCGGAGGGCGGCCACTTTGGCGTCCAGCAGCTGCAGCCGCTTGGCGCTCTCCTTGCTCTCGTCCTTCATCAGCTCGTAGTTGTCTCGCAGCTTCACCTCAAAGATGTCATCCAGGAAGACCCAAGAGAAGTGCTGCACCTTAATCAGCAAGTCGGGCGGAAGTGGAGCCGGCTCTGGGGTCTCCCCGGCTCGGGTCCCCCGGTGCAGTCCCTTCAGCCACTTCTGCACCCCCACGGCCTCATCCAGGGTTCGGGAGAAGTCGTACTGGTAAGGAAACTCCACCGACACCGAGCCCAGGGAGAAGAGCCAGACCCGGTTGCGCAGGGTCTCCAGGGAGGGGAAGGGGTTGCGGTGCAAGATCATCTCTTCCAGCTCGGACAGCAGCTGCACCTCTACCTCCTTGAAGTTGAAGATGCTGTTGCCGTCGAAGCCGGCAGCCAGTTCTGGGCAGTAGACCTGGAGGGAGCCGCTGTGGCGACTCAAGGACACACTCTCTGCCACCAGGGTGATGAACTTGTCCTCAGCCACAAAGGCAGTCAGCTTGGCTGTGCTCACCTCCAAGGTCAGGTTCAAGAGCCGCTTTGGAGGGGCCGGTTCACAGGGGCTGACCTTGGGCGCAGCGGGGCTTCCCGGCTCCTCTGGGGCTCGGAGGAGGTCTCGGCACTGGAGCGTGGCCAGGACATGCTGGTACAGGTACATGTGGTCTGGGGGGCTCCAGAGGACCATCAGCCCTGCACCACACTGCACCTGTGCGGGAGATCAACGGCAGAGCTTACTCTCTCTTTGTTCAAGCCTATCAAATACTGTTACCCAGAACGCTAGAAGGATGACAGAGGCCAACATGCTAGTAACACTGCAGACCTGGTGTGGGGCTCATCTCCACTCAGAAATTTTTCTAATTACCCTCCTTGCTCTCTCGCTTTGCTTTTCTTCAGAACAAACATACCAAAGTCAGTTTTATATTGTCTTGCAGCAACACGTTTTCTATTTGTTTCATGTCTGTATGTTGTCTTCTCAGGTAGACTGTAAGCACCCCGAAGGCAAGTACCAGTTGTTCCTTTGGCATTCCCTAGAGCAGCTGGCCTAGCGCTGCCCTCAATGAAAAGCTGAATGCGTACTATGAGGAGCACTGGGCTCACAATCAGAACACTTGATTTCTAATCCCAGCCCTGTCATTTTCTGGCTGTGTGACTATGGCCTAGTCACTTAACCATTTCTCTGTGCCTCAGTTTCCTCATCTGTCAAATGAGGATAATATCAGCACCACCTACTCCATGGAGCTTTTGTGAGGAAAGTCCTTTGTAAATCACTAAACACCATTCAACAAACCTTTATTAAATACCTTCTGTGAGACAGGAAGTATAGACAAGATACCACCCCTGCCCTAACAGAGATTATGGTGTAACCAAAAGACGAGACACAAACCCAACTGACTAATTAACACATACAATGTCACTTAGAAGTATTTCATAGCTTTGTAGGGCAAAGTGCTGCTATGTGAAGGCCAAGAATGAAGGCTGTCACTACTGGGGAGGAGTGACTGAACATAAGGGATAGTGTTATCAAGGATGTGGCTTCTAAGGCGAACTTTCAAGGGTGGGTAGGAATTCTAAAGGTGGAGAGAAAGGAGGACATTCCAGGCACAGGGAACAACATTAAGCACGGTTATATAGGCAGGAGGATTTAGGGAATGTTTACAGGGCTGACTGTGGAGTCCAGTTTAGCTAGAACACATAGTACATGAGGAGGGCAATGACAAACATACTCCTCACAAGAATAAAAGAAAACTTAATTGGAGGGATATTCATTGTCTGTGGTTGGGTGTTGCCAATATAAAAAAAATGGCAATAAACTTAGAGACTGGGTGTCATGCCAATCAAACTACCAGCAGGTTACTTTACTGGCTGCTAAGTGGCGCCGAGACAGTGGATAAAGCATTATTGAGTCTGGAGCCAGGAGGAAGAGCTGAGTTCAAACCACACACTAGGTATATGACTTTGGGCAAATCACTTAATTACTGTTTGCCTCAGTTTTCTCAACTGCAAAATGGAGATGATAAAAGCACCTACTCTGCAGGGTTGTTGTTTAGATTAAATGAGACATCCCCTTCTCTCCTCTAACATAGCCCCCACCTGGTGCAGGCCCTTATCGCCTCACACCTAGACCATTCCAAAAATCTGCTGATGGGTCTGCTTGCCTCCAGCCTTTCCTCCAGCTTCCATTAAGCCAGCAAAGCGACTTTGCAGGTCCAACCATGAAACTCTCCTACTCGGTAAACTCCAGTGGCTCCCTATCACTCCGGGATTAAATACAAAATGCTCTGTTTGGCATTCAATGCCTTTCATGATCTACCCATCCCCTCCAGTCTTCTTATACCTTATTCCCCAACATATTCTTTGATGCAGTGATACCAGCCTGCTGGCTGTTCCAGGAACAAGACTCTCCATCTCTCCTCCCCAGGTATCTTCTCTGGAGGTCTCCCATGCCTAGAACACTCTCCCTCCTCATTTCTGACTATGGACCTCCCTGGCTTCCTTCAAGTTCCAACTAAAATCTCACCTCCTACAGGAAACCTTCCCTAACCTCTCCTAATTCCAGTGTTTTCTCTCTGTTAATTATTTCCAATTTATCTTGTACAAAGCCTGCTTTATATTTGTGTGGATATAGGCATATTATATATATATTATGTGTGTGTATATATATAACATATATATTTTATACATAGCCTGCATATATTCGTTTGCATGTTGTTTCTTTCATTAGATTATAAACTGCTTGAGGATAGGGGCTGTCTTTTGCCTCTTTTTGTATCCCCAGAACTTAGCAAAGTGTTTGGCACATAACAGGTGCTTATTAAATATTTACTAATTACAATTAATTTTACAATAAATTGTAAAGTGCTTAGCAGAGTGCCTAGCACATAATAGGTGCTATAACCAAGTCTTACATCCAAGGCTATCCAAAGACTTGTACTGGCCTCCCTTTATAAAACTAGATAACATAATAACAAAATTTATCTAGAGGAACCAAAGATTAAGGAAAATAATGAAAAAAATAGGGACAAAGGAGTCTACCATTACGAGATCTTAAATTATACTAGAAAACATTAATCACATAAGCTATTTGGTACTGGTTGAAAAACAAAAAAGCTGATCAGTGGTATACACTAGATAAGGAAGACCCAGTTGTTTAATAAACCTAAAAACACCAGCTACTGAGATAAGGACTCTCTAGTCATGGAAAAACTATTAGGAAAGCAGTCTGGCAGAAAATGAGGTTTAGACTAATAATCCTACATATAATAATCCTAATAATCCTACTAATAAGCTCTTTATGGATACATGGTCTAAATATAAAAGGTCATACCATTAAAAAAAAAGAGAGAGAGAATGGAAGTATTTTGCACAAACAAGAGATAAAGGTGATCACAAAAGATTAAGGAGATAATTTTGATTGTATAAACTGAAAAGCTATTATACAAATCAAATTGATGTTTAGAAGAGAGGGAGTAAATTGAGGGAATCCTTACAGCAGATATCTGATGACGATCTATTATATCCTGATAAAGGTATGTCTATTTAAGATATACAGAGAATTGACACAAACAAATATCATAGCATTTGACAGTTGGAAGGAAGCTCAGTCTCCACCCTGTCCAATGCACACACAAAGGGAATCTACCACAGAATGCCATCCAGTCACTTGGAGCTCAAGACCACTAAGGAGAGGGAACCTCTCCTACTTTGAAACAGCTCTTACAGTTAGGAAGTTGTTTCTTCATCGTCTAAACTGGTCTCTTTCTAGTTTCTACCCAGTATTACTGGTTCTGCTTCTGGAGCCACACAGTACAAGTTGAATCCTCCCCATGTAACAGGCTTTACAACGCTCATGTTCTGTCCCCCACCTCCACCAGGATCTTCTCTCTTCCAGGCTGACACTCCCAGTTCCTTTAACAAGTCCTCATATGACACATGAGGTTCTTGTCCTCATCAGTACAAGACTCATTTCCCAATAGATAAGTGGTCAAAGGATAGGATATGAGCAGGCAGTTTTCAAAAGAGGAAAAGCAGTCATGTGAACGAATACTCCAAATCATCAACAATAAAAGAAATACCAAGTTAAACAATTCAGAGGCTTCAGGATCTGCCCATCTGCCAAGGACGACAAAAGACAAAGCTGGTAAATGATGGAGGGACAGTGAGAAGTGAGGCCCCTAATGCACCGTGTACTGTCAGTGGGATCACACAGTGGGCCAACCATTCAAGAAAAACTGTTAGGAATTCTATTTAAAGTTACTATGTGGTACATAATCCTTTGATGTACTACTCAAAAATACCACTATTCAGCACACCCCAAGAAAGTCAATGACTGAGCAATAGGTCCCATTCTACATATAAAGATATCTACGGTAGCAAAGAATTCGAAGGAAAGTAGGTGCCCATTGACTGTGGTACTGCTGAACTGGGATATATAAACGTAATGGAATTTCATTGTGCCCTAGGAAATGATGAATATGAAGAATTCAGGGAAATTTGGATAGACTTGTATGAATTGATACAAAGTAAAGTAACAGAAACCAAGAAAACAAACAAACAAAATGATCAAGTAATATAACAGAAAACAACATAGAATGACTTCAGAACTATGACCAACATAGTGGCCAATCAGGACTTCAGAAAAGTTGGGGATGAAGCATGTCTCCTGCCCTTGGCAGAGAAAGGTTTAGGGGACAACAGGTGTGCAATGAGGCCAACATTTTCAGACACAGAAGATGTGATGACTTGTTTTGCTTAATTGCTTGGCTTGGTATAAGGGAGGATTACATGAGGGTGAGGGAGAGAGAGGAGTCATTGGGAAATGACAGTGATATAAAAAAGGAAGATACCAATAAATCATTTTAAAAAGGAAAAAAAAAAAAGAAATGCATGGAAACACCTGACTGCGGAAAGCCCTGAGTGCCAGGCCAAAGTGGCTATACTGACAAGCTGGCTGTTGGGAACCACTGCAGATTTGTAAGTAAAGATGTGACTAATTTATGCATCTCAATGCATACCACTATTACTATGCTCATTGTTACCATGAGCTACCTTTACACAACGGCCACACCCTGGCACGCCACAGCTGCAATGAGAGGACGACTAATGGGAAAATGTGCTGTACATTAGTTTCAAACTTGACTGACTTTAAAAATTAATATTAAAAGTAAAGCTTAAATTGGGAAGGCATTAAGCTTTCCCAAATGGTCTTGAGGTAAGGAGTATTATGAAGGGAACTGTCATAAGACAGAGGAAACAGGAAGTAGCTCTAAGCAGACCGTCTGGCAGGCCATGGGAAACAAAATTCCAGGACGGACAAACTGCCTCGGGTCTCATTCTTACCAAAGGAACCTCTTGGTTTATTCCAAGGACAGTGATGTCCCAGAGGGAGGAATACAGCCCTTCCCTCCCCCCACAGTCCCCACTACAAAGGTTCTATTTCAATCTCTAACCCTGTAGGAAAGCCTTTCAAGGTCTGCCTAGTCATGGGAGTCCAGAAAACTCCAGTGAGTTCAGAGGGACAGCAGGCTAAAAAGCCAATGCTGCAGCTTGTTTTCCATGGGACCAGGATTCAAACCACGAGTTAAGGGGCTGCTGAGCAAAGGCCTTACCTCTAGAGAACGAATGCTACTGTGGTAGGTGATGGAGAGCATGGAAAGGCTGAGGACAGGGGTGGGGATGTCAGGGGCCTTGCAGCACGGCTGCATCTTCTCTGTGACTGTCTTCACCAGGGCCAGCACGAGTCCCTGGATACCCACTGTAGAACTCTCTGCACTGCCCAGGACTGTCAGGGTGTCCAGTCGGACCTCCGAGGCTCCTAGAATCCCAGACACCCAGTTAGCCTGGGGCTCCTCACTCACAAATGGCAGCTATGGTTCCTCCTCTCCCCTTCCAGCCATTCTCTTCATTCCAACTCTCTTCTCTCCTACCAGTCAACCCATTCTACCCTCCCATTCTTCAGCCCAAGGTCACCTCAGAGTTCATCTCTTGCAAGAGGCCCATCTAGATTAGGCTACACAAGAGACATTGACAACCCCTCACTCCACCCCCACCACACCCCCAGCCACTCCAAGTTATTCAATAAAGAAAGAAAGAAAAAGAAAACGGCCTAGATCTGTACGTCTCATGTGCTCATCGGCTACAGAGAAACAGCACCTCCACAGCATGGGTGAAGCCTCAACGGAAGAATTACAGAGAGACAGGTTGGAAAGACACGGAAAGATGTGGTGTGAACACATCTGAATCCTTCTGTATGTTCTCAACCTGTGCAGTGAAGACCACGAATGAGAGCACAGACCCCAATATCTAAGGGCAATGAACATCTAACTCCTTAGGAGGGTTTAAAAATAAGAGCAGTCCCTCCCACTTCCACCCCCCTGGTCCCTTAACTTGGAGCCATCTAAGAAAACCAGACTGATCAGCAGGCCGGCACTGGAGAATTAAGCAGACCAGTAGCAGCTGATTTAGTAAGGGAAGGTCCTTGTTCGCCAGTGTGGGCTCAAGGCTGCCCACTCTGCATGTGGCTTCTGGCTGGAGCCACTGGGCCCTCACTTACCCACCAGGCTAGAAAGGGTGAACAGGTTCATGTCCTCCACCTTCAGGTCCACCTTCCACAGGGGCACTGGAGATTCCCCAAAAGGAAGTTCCCTGGGTGGGGCTGGCTTCCGGGACCAAAGACCCAACAGGGACAGGATTCGGGAGAGACATTCAGCACAGGTATCTGACGCCTCCACCTGCAGACCACGGATGGTACAATCCAGGAAGAGGGTGTCCGACTGAGTGCTGCTCAGCCCCAGGGGCTGGTTATAGCTGCCCTAGAAAGGGAATAGAGATGCCCAGATGTAGGCTGTTCCCCCCAGCCCTATGACAGCCCTATGACTCATTATGAGATGCTCATCATCATTTCACAGTTGAGTCAAGAAGGGATCTGTGAAGGGCTCCATGAATGCCTAGCATGAGACACAAGGGCCAGGATCTCCTCACCTACCTGTAGGGTGAAGGAGTCGAGGACAAGGGCCTCACCCCAGACATGCATGTTGGGTGGGTGGGGCGCCCGTTGGATGTGAGAGTCATTTCCCACACGCCAGCACAAGTGGTCCACAGCCAGGACGCCCCGCTGATGGATGCTTTGGGGCCTCAGGTGCTGGTAATCTGAAGGGAAGATGGTGGCAAGGGATGATGTGGTATCTTCAGCTACCCACACTCAAGCCAAGACCATTACGACTGGTAAGCTGGCTTGGTCCCCCTAAAATGGACATACTCACTGCTTGTTTCCCAGAAACCTTACCCAGAGAAATGGAATTGAAGCCCAGAGCAAAGGGTGGCGTATCTCCAAGCTGAATGGAAACATTGACATTGGAGATAGAAGTACTAAGGATGATGGGGGCCAGAATTTGAGGGAAGTTTCTGTATAGGGAGAAAACACCACCGTAAGGGAAGGAAAGAAAGGCTCAGCTCCCTATCTGGAGACAGGTTCTTGCTGCTCTCAGGTCAGAGCAGAGAGTCCAAGCCTTGCTATGAGCCTCAGAAGAGGAGACAGAAAACAGCAGGAATAACACTGAAGAACTGAACATACACTAAATGCTCTGCTCCCCCTAGTTTCTAGAAAAATTAGCTAAGAAACCAAAAAACCCCAAAAGCTACAACCACGATCATCAAAAAACGAATTCAGCCCTTGAGTACAACCTGGCTACGAGAGCCATGATGCTGCTCCTACTGTTTAGGAGCTCTCTAGGGAAGGCCAAGAGATGAGATCAACCAAACAGCAGGTACTGACTGAGAGCCCACAATGTGCTTACACAGCAAGGATGCCCATTTGGAACGTGTTAGCAGTGTCCTAAGGAACCAACCCAGAAAGTGGAACACTGGAACATGGTTGATCTCACCTGGTTTTCCTGGGGTGGGAGATGGCCCGTCTTGGCCCCTGCCTTTCTCGCACCAACATGTGCAGCCAGTGAGAGAATTCCTGGTGCCGGTAGTGGACAATGCATGTGCTGAGCACCAGAGAGGCGGAGAGATCAATGGTGGTCACCTAGAGGAAGGTATGAGGCTGAGGAGGAGGAGGTGGGGGCGGTGTGGGGCCTGGTCTCTCCATTTGGGAAGGGGACCAGCTACTAGTTCAGGGAGTACTAACGGTCCGGTGAGGCCAGGAAAGGGCTGAGGCTCTCACCTGCACACTGGCTTTTAGGGAATTTAGGCAGATGATTCGCTGACGGCTCTGGGAAAGCAGCAGCCCATCTGCAGGAGGCAAAAGGACCATCAGGGAGCTCAGAGGGAGAGAAGCAGATTGCTAGCCCCCCCTCAGTAAGCCCCCATGAGTTTAGAGACTATTCCTTTCAGCATCTTCCCCACCCCCATTAATCCCAATTTAGAGCAAATGGGACCCACTGCACTCCCTCCTCTTGAGGTCCCTTGGGCCCCAGGCAGCCCAACCACCCACCTTCTAGCAGCAGCTCAGTGCTCATCTGGGCCATGTCTGAATTGGCTATGAAACTTCGAAGCGGCAGCTGGTCCTCATCACGATGGTAATTAAACTGCAGCAGCTTCAGCGTCCAGTTGAGGTGCCTAGCCAAGAACCGAGGCGGGCTCAGCCCCTACACTGCCATCCCTGTCCCGACCTTGCCCCGCCCAGGCAGGCTCAGCGCTGAACACCCACTGGCCCTCACCTCTTCTGGCTGTTCATGGACAGTACCACACTGGTATTCTCCATCTCTACTTTCACTTTCCCTGGGAGCAGCTGAAGGAGGTTCAAGCCAGGAAGAGTTGGCTCAGTCAAGTCCTCTGTCACCTCTGCAAATGAGAAAATAGAGGTTGTGCATCCACGGATCCGTCTCCAAGAAAAGACCCTCGGCTTCTGCCCAGATGCCTTTACCTTTCAGACAAAGTCAGTTGGGTCCCTCTATACTGACCACCCAGTACCATAGGGTTCACAGGGACCTCAAAGGCCATCTACAACGTCCCCAAGGAGCAGGCCCCCAGACTTTGCCAGACCATCTCAAGTGGACAAGAAACTCACGAGGCCCCAAAGCAGCCTGTTCCACTCTGAAACAGCTCTAATAACTTGAAAGTCTTCCGTTACGTGAAACAAGTATCTGCAACTGCTGCCCAAGGTACCTGGTTTTGCTTCTGGAACTAAGCAGAGCAAGCCTGCTCCCTTCTCCATGATTGCTCTTCAAATGCTTGAACATTCGTGTGTAATCCCTGACCCCACCCTGGCCTTCTCTTCTTCTGTTAAAAACCCCATTCCTGGGGCAGCTAAGTGGCACAGTGGATAGAGCACCAGGCCTGGATTCAGGAGGACCTGAGTTCAAAACCGGCCTCAGACACATAACACTTGCTAGCTGTGTGACCCTGGGCAAGTCATTTAGCCCCCACTGCCCAACCAAAAAAAATAAAACCCCATTCCTTCAAAGGCTCCACATGCAGCATTATTCCTAGGCCCTTCAATATCCGGGTTGTCCTTCCTACAGACAACATCCAAGGTGTCAATATCCTTTCTAAGATGAGGCACACAGAACTGAACACCCCAGAATTCCAGATGTAGACGTACCACAACAGAGTAAGTTCAACCATGACCTCTTTTGTGTTGGGACACTATGGGCTTCTCAATGTAGTCTAAGGCTTTTGGGGGTGCCGTGTTATGTTGAATGGCTGACTCCTATTGAGTCTGCAGTCCACTAAAACCCCAAGGCAAACATCCCCAAGATGCCACCAGGCAATGTTCCAGGACACAGAATTCTACTGTTCCTTCCTTCTTCCAGTCCAAGACAGAGACCAGGTCATCTGGGGAGTCCCATTCTTACTTCAGGTCCACCTATTCTCAAGGTCGAGGCTCATTTGCCAACAACCAATACCAGTGATAACTAACAACACGTCAGGTGAATAGCAAGACCCAGAACTTGGTTTCTGCATACCTTCAGTGAAGAGAATCAACACGTCTATCTTTATCTGGCATTTTACCTGGCCTCAAGGTAGGCACCAGGCTCGGGTGCAGCAGCTGGCCATGGAAGAGACCTTCATGCAGTTCAGCGTGGAGGGTCCACACATCTAGGGTGATGGCCTTCAGCTGCAGGCTGCTTAAACCCATCTCCACACACAGGTCCATGGCTAGGGAGAGCTCTGCCAGGCAAGTGTCCTCCTACACAGGTGAGTGAGACAGACAACACATCAACCCCTCACACCCAGAAGGCTTTGGTCAAAAAGATGGTGAATGGAAGCCACGACAAATTCCAAGGGATCCCCACTGGGGACTGAGAGAGAACTATTGGTATAGGAAATAATTATGAGAGCCCTAGTGTTCCTGAGCTCACACCCAGAATGGAGGATGAGACGGAGTGAGCATGTGACCCCATGACATACTCACCGACTGACCACTCTTTAGTACTTTGCTGTTCACTTGGCTTAGGCTCACCTTACAGTCGATTCTGGGAGGGGGGAAAAAAAATCAAAATCCTTGGTCAGTGGCCCCCCCCCCGATCCTCCATCTCCAGCCAAGCTTTGCTTGCAGGAAGACAAGCTGGGTAGACCTGACCTTGTGCCCAGCTCAAAGCAGGCAATGTAACTGCCCTAACTTGAGTGGTGGGAGCACCATCTATGGATCTGGAGCTCAGCCACTCTGCCAGCTAGCCTTGCCTTGGCTTCTACTTCCTGGTGCCAGAATGGGAACAGTTGGTTTGGATGCTGCCATCTGGGATTCTACCCACCCAGCACTCACCTCTTCCCGTCACTATCCAGAAGGAATCGGCTCCTGCTGATCTGAATGTGCCACAGGGACTCAGAGGTAGCTACCTTGAGAACCATAATGTTGATGGAATCCACATGGATTGAGAAAAGCTGAGGGGAAGAAGTCGGCACAAACAATAGCCAGGAGCAGGCCACCATTTGCCCTCTTTCCTTAGGTCTTCAGACGAAGAGGAGACGCACCTCCCATCCCACAGGCAATGCAACCCAGGACCTCGAAAGACAGCTGCTGACACCTCTGAAAAACCCTTACTCAGACGAGGGATGTGCGGGTAAAGCCAGCTTGAAGCATGGGCCTGCCTATCCACTGCCACGGTGTCCAGGAAATGGGGACAGGTCTCACCTGGCAAGCAATCCTCAGCAAGGAGGGGCTGAGAGGCATCTCCCTGTGATCCACCCCAGTGGTCTTGGAGAAAGAGGTAGGTAGGCCAGACATCTTCTGTAGATCGGTTCTGATCCGCACCTCCCCGAAACATAGTGCCACATAGTGCCTGCCCCCAGGAGAGAGACCTGACTGCCATCAGTGTTATCAGCCAGAGACCCATTCCTTCCCTCCAACCTCCCAGCTTCCCTGAGGGTAGGTTTTGGTCCAGGAAGTTAGGATGGTGGCACATGTCAACATCTGTGTTACAAGTTCACAGTATACAGACCCACATGGAAGCTCTGAGGAGACAAGGGCCAGCTCCCTCTTCAGGCTGAAAGGCTTCTCATCAATTGGATCTCATCCAGCAACACCCAACCCCACACTACAAATCTCCCTTCTGGAAAAGGTAAGATGAGATACTCACGGCAGCTCATGGCTCAGGAGTTTGCTGGAAATCCACACACTATCAATTTCCTAGAATAGTATGGGAAAAGGCTTTGTGCGGCTGCTGCCAGCTAAGGCCCAGGCAATCCGACAGTCTCCACAACAGACGCAAGAGTCACTGGGACACTGAGGTCAGAGGCGGGAGCAGAGGAACAGCAGGGGAGGAAGGCGGTCCATAGGCCCACGCTAAACCCACCCAGATCAGTTCAGCTCTACAGACACTTATGAAGCACTGACTGTATCCAAAGCACTGCACTAAGACAAAAATAGTCCCTGCCGTCAAGATGATTCTAGTCTACTTGTGGGGAAGGGCATGGTGGGAAGACACTGTGGCAGTGCACAGATAAACATCATACAAAGTTGGGAGGGAAGGGGGCAAAGGATAACGTGCTCTAGGAACGGCTGAAGGAGCAATTGCTAACAGCTGAGGGTATAAGGAAGGCTAAAAAGAGGCACCACCTGAGCTGAGCTGTGAAGGAAGATAACAGTATCATTAGTTTTGTTATTCTGCAACTCATATTCACACATAGCACTTGTAAGGTTTGAACCAGCCTTCACACGGATTACTTCATTTTAGAGAAATACTATTATTATTGCCAATTCACAGCTGAAGAGACAGAGGCTCAGAGAAATCAAGAAATACTAGCTTGGGAGCTGGAAGGAATCTCGGGCACCTCACTTGAGGCAGGCGAGGCCCAGATGGACGGGCCACATCGGTAACTGAGCCAGGATTCAATTCCAGGTCTTTCCAATGCCCTTTCCATAATGCTGGAGTGCATCTGAAGAACAGAGATGAGCAGGGAGTAACTTCCAGGAGGGGAAGTCAGGCAGTGTGAACACACACGGCACGTGGTCCAAGTCATAATGATCATAATTACGTTAGAAGTCTCTTTTTGGGTGTACTGGTCCATTTCTCCCATTACACTGTAAGCTATTTCTCTTATATCCTTCCACAGAGCCCAAGCAGGGCCACAGCTGGTGCTCAATAACTGTTCTTGACTGACCAACGGACTGGCCCTAAATCTGGTCTTCTCAGGTTAGATCCAGGATTAGCTCAAAGAAGTGATTAACTGGGAAAACTACCTAACATTCAAGAATGAAGAAACCATGGTTGATAAATAACCGAAGAGCTATCCAATGCTTGTGATTACGTTAATGCCACACAACGAAGGTGGCAGTACTATGCAAATTAAATTATGGATTTCATGCAATCCCAATCAAAAGACCAATGAGCTACTTCATAGGACTGTGATTAAAATTTATCAGTAATGACACTATCAAGGGAAGCTATAGGGGAAATAAAAGATCTCTCAAAGTAGTGGTCAGTATCAAAATTGTCCGGTTTGGGTTGTTTTTGTTTTTTAAAGTATGAAAATGGACCAATGGAAGAAAATAGAGAATATGGAACCAAAGGAATATACCAGCATTATGCTGGCAGAATCACAGATTTAGAGCTGGAATGAACTTCTCAGGTCATACTTGACCACTTCTCTCATTTTTCAAATGAGGAACTGAGGCACAGAGTGAGTGACCATAAAACATGAAAAATGACATTTTTCAATAAAAACTGCCAGGAAAATGGATACTGGCAGGCCAAAACAACAGCAGGATAAGAGCCACATCTCATATTGGGCTTTTTTGGTTTGGCCCTATGATTTCATGGGCAAACTGTCCTCACCCATGCAGACTGGCAAGTTTTCTACAATGTGTAGTCTTAGAGATTTGCTTGGGGTACAGTGACCTGCTCAGGATCATACGTCCAGTATGTCAAAAACAAAATTTGATCCCAGGTCTTCCTAACACCAAAGCTAACCCTCTAAACATTCTATCACGATGCCTCTTACGTCACACCACAGCAAATGTCGAAAGTACTGATAATTTAAATATTTTGAAAATCATTAAAACTGTAGGAAACAACAGAGCACTGTCGTGGAAAAGAGAAAACATTCTTAGCCACTGCTGATTTCAGCTGGGTTTCCCCTCCACCTCCCGATTCATGGAATTCCCTCGTACTCACCACTGTTTGCTGGTGCTGCTCAAACTTCAGACTAACATTTTGGATCCAGAAAAAGCCAAAGGAGCCGATCTTAAGCTCGGCTTGGAGCCTCCGATGACACCACTTGGTGGCCAAGCGGACCAGAAGCCACCTGCCAAGAGATGCTGGTGAGCGCTAGCCGTCCTTGGGATTGCAGACATCTCTGCCCGCAGAAGACTTCCATGAGGAGCGCTCTAGTCTATGGATGAGACTTCTCAGCAAGTTTATATTTTCCCCTTTGCTCCTCCTGATGGGTCCAGTGGAAAGGGCCCCCTGCTTCAGGCACTTACCGTCGGGGCAACCCTGAGCGTGCCTCAGTAAAAGGAGGGAGCCTCTGCTCCTTGCTCTGCCACTATATGCACCCCTCTCTGAGCCTCAGTTTCCCAGCCTGTAAAATGAGACTTCTGGTTCTGGAGCTACGATCCTAGGCTCGCTTCCCTCCACCCCAGTGCCTCAGAGGACCCCAGACCCAGTCTAGGTAAGGGTGCCCCCTGCTGCTCCCATCCCCGAGGAGAAACCAGGGATCCCCCGCTCCCCAGATCTCATCCCAGCCCTCCGAGCTGAATCGGGGGATTTCCCCGCCACCGTCAGAAGTCTTGGGCTCCACGCAGGAAAAAGGACCCCAGCCTCACTGGAGGGGAGAACCCCGCCGCTCTGGGGCCACCCAAGGGTCGCCTGGGGGGCGGTCAGGGCCAGGCAAGTGCTAGATGGAGCCCCCCTGCTCTAGGACTGCGGGGTACTCCCCCCCCCGAAAGAAAGAGCCCGGGTGATGGGCAGGCGGCCCAGTGACACCTGTACAGCAGAGGAAACTGAGGCAATGGAGGAGGAGGAAACAGCAGGAGGAGCAAAGGTGTGCAGAAGTAGGGGACTTGGCCAAGGTCACCCGGAACCAAGGGCATCAAACAGGGGGCTCCGGGGTACCCTACCCACCCACTCGCGGGGCTCCCCTCCCACAGCCCACAGGCCCTCCCCTTTCCCTTGAGCCCCTCCCCAGCCCTCGCGCCCCCGCTGCTCTGCCCCTCCCTCCCCGCGCGCCCCCGCGCCGTCCCTCCTCCCCGCGCGCCCCCGCTGCTCAGCCCCTCCCTCCCCGCGCGCTCCCGCGCGCCCTCTCTCCCCTCTCTCTGGCCCCAGTGGCCCCTCACCGGCACAGGAAGAGGGCGCAGAGCGCAGCCAGGAGCAAGGACAGCAGCGCGGCCAAAAGCAGAGGCATCGCGGTCCCGCGGCCCTGGCCCCGGCCCCGGCCCCCGCGAGTTCCGTGCCGAGCCTCCGAGGGCCGACTAGCCGCCTGCGCGGGGGACGGCGCGAGGAGGAGACGCCGCGAGCCCCGCCCAGGCCCGGCCCGGCGGCCCCCCCCCCACCCTCCCGCGGCGCCCGCGCGCGAGCGAGCAAGGGAGGGCGAAGGGGGAGGAGCCAGCACACTTTCCTCTTCCTCGCCCCGCCTGCCCCCTCAGCCTCGGCCTCCCCCTTCCAGGCTCCAGGGCCAGAGCGAAGAGGAGACAGACACGTCCTTCCTCCCTAGCCCCGCCCCCGCCCCCCCTCCCCGCAGCAGCCCTTGTGCAGGGGAGGAGCTAGGCACTGTGCTGGTCCCGCCCCTTTCTCCGCCCCTTCCTCCACCCCATCCCCCTCCGGCCGGAGCCAGCCGGCAAACGTCTGCCTGGGACGGCGTCTGTCTCCCTGGGGGCGGGCGAGTCTCTGACTGCCACTCGAAGAATTGTGCTGGGATACCCTCCCGGAGCCCGAGGACGAGTCCTAAGAAGTGGGGTCCGAACGGAGCCCGGAGGACCTTAGTGGGCAGGCTCAGCCCCTCGCTTTGGCCGGCCGGGGGAGAGGGAAGCGACTTGCCCAAGGTCACTCGGGTAGCGAGCCTGGCAGCCAGCTGCTCCAACTTCCGGGCCGGCCCCACGCTAGCCCTTGCGCGACGTGGGCCCTCGGACAAGTCCCTGGGTGTCGGAAGACGGGACTGCGGCCGTCTGGGAGAGAAGCCCTCCCGGGTCTCCCCATCCAAGCCCAAGGGCGATCTCGTTACTCAGCGGGGAGCCGGTGTCTGGGCTCCCTTGGGGCCCCCGGGGGGTCCTGGGTTAACGTTGGAGTGGCTGTGCCAGGAATGCCTGTGCCGGAAGGGACCTTGGGAGGGCAGCTCCCCCGTTCTAAAGCACAGGGGTCAGAACCGACCTGCTTCGGAGGCACAGAAAGCAAAGTTCTTTGTGCCTCTGGGTCCAAGTTCTGCCACTTCAGGAGCAGGAAGGTGGACTCTGCGATCCTAGTTAGGTAAATAGAAGAGCAACAGTCTCATCATCTTTCTCTCGTCCAACGAAAAAGAAATGAGAGAAAATAGCTGGACAGCCCAACTGATAACACTAGTTACGTCCCCAAAAAAAGACCCCGCCAAAAAAATCCTACAAGATAATAACAGCAAATGACATTTATTTACATAGTGCTTTCAGGTTTGCATCTTACTTAGGTTAACTCTTTGGTTCTCACAACAACTCCTGGGAGGGGTGGGTGCTGTTGTTATCCCCATATTGCAGAGAAACTGAAACGCAGGTTAAAGGACTTGCCCAAGGTCACATGGTAAGTATCTGAAGCTAGATTTGTACTTGATCTTTCTGTCTCCTAGTGTAGCACTCTATCCACTAGGCCACCTAGTTGCCCAGGAAAGTTTGTGGCATGCTGGATGGATCTGTTAATCAGTTGTGGAGAATTTATAGTAAAACATGGACATATAGGATGAGAAAGCATGGAGGGATTGTGGTCTGCACTTTGAAAGAAACACACTGATGAAGCCATGAGTCATTCAAAGTATCAAAATAGAGATAGAAAACACTGTATTTAATTCATTTACTGTGGGGACTATCTTATTCTGGCCAGCTGTTGATTGAACCAGGTGTCGAACACCCTGCTATACATAGTGAATTCTTCAAATTCTGTTCACTGACAAAAGTATTAAGCATCCTTGTGCATAGTATGGCATCACGCAAGTTTGGGGGCTACAAAGTAGGAGGTCTGGTTCCTGTCCTTCAGGAATCAGAGAAATTGTGATAGACATAAATGAAACAGGCCAAGTTTAACTCCTGGGGAAACACATATCCAAGTGCCTGAGGGCAGAGAGTACCAGGAGCTCAAAGAGGAGTATGTTGGGGGCACTGTTTTGTAGACCAGCCACTTTTCTATAAATATCCACTGTCTTTTCCAAAACCATTTCCCTCTGGTAGTTTCCCCTAATAATTCATTCTCCTGTTCTATTATCAGCCCTCTAACAAGTTGTGTATCCTCTTACTGATTCCTGGTAAGCCAGGCAGAAGCAGCTCGGCTGTCCTGAGCCCTCCCCACTTTTCTGGCACTTTGCCTTCTCACTTGTAATCTACTCCCTCCCCTTCTTCCAGCCAGCTGGTCACTTAGATCCTCATTCTGCATCTCCTCAATTCAGTGGAATCTGTTTAGTTAGCTCTGCCTTTGCTTTTCCAGTCCACCTTGCTTCCTTTTCTCCGATCATTCCTTTGGTTTCCTTATCCACAGTTTGTTCCTGTCTCTTCTCTAGACTATCCTGTTACATCTGGCCCTTCTCTCTCAAGGCTTTTCTTCTCAGAGGACCTGAGCAGTTTAACTGGAGAAACAGCAAGATTTTCTGGAAATCAGGGCTTCTGGAGTTGGAACCTATCTCTCACTATGACATCTTATTTGGCTTGTGTCACTGGGAGAGGGACCGAATCTTAACATCTAGGACAGTGGGAGGTCTGGCATAGTTGACATTCTCCAAGCAAAATGTAAAGGCTGCAAAATAAGTGAGTGGAAAAAAGCCAACCTAAAATAAAGTGAGTCTTTGCTATAGCCCTTGGAATCCCAGCAGATGGCAGCCACCTCCCTTCCCGCCCCCATCACACTTTTGGAATGCAGAAGTCCAACATCCCAGAATCCACCTGCTTTGGGAGTATGAAGGAGGCTGAAGATAAAAGGTGACTATTTCTCTCCATCGAAAAAAGTTGTATGCTCACCTTGATATACTTGGCCTCATTTGCCCAGTTTGGCCAGGGAAGTGGATAAATGTATGTCTACTAGACTCATCTCCTCATCAACAATCATGGGTCCAGGCTGCAGCAATTCACTGACCATTGAGAGAAATGATTATTAAGTAACTCATTATTAATATTGAGGAGATCCAGGATTTTTTCCCTTCCTCATTTGGAGGTTAGGTCAAAGCTTAGTTCTTTGAAGGGCAGGGCAGATGATGAGATGAAATCTTGGAATTGTGGCCTCACCCAACTAGAAGACCCTAGGTGAATTCTGGCCCATAGTGTACTACTCAGGCTTGGGTGGGCCTAGATCCTTTGTCTAGATTGTCTGAGGCTGGGGGTGATCTGGGAGTCAAATGATCAAAGAGTGATCAAAGTCCAGTTCCCCAGCCCCTCTAGAGAATTGAGTCCACCTCTCATTAGAATATTCATTCTTCTCATTAACTGTTAACCAATTGGAGTTGATTGCCACCCTCAGGAACATCCACTCTTCCAAGGGCATATAAGCATTGAGTGGGTTCCATGAGGAGTCTTTGGCATTCTAGAGCACTACTGACCCCTTTTAGTAATTACCCACAAACTATGTCTCCTGAGCTTTTTATATGTCACACCATTAAGGCAAACCAATTGAAGGTTTTCATCCAGAAGGATTTGGACCTCTAGCCAAAGGGCATGAGTTTGAAGTTAAGGAAAGAGAAGACCTTGCAAGGTGAACAGCTGAGTCCCCAGTAATTTCAAAAGGCTTACAGCAATAAGCAGATGTGACTCCTAATTAAATGACCACTTAAAGACTGAGAGTCAAATTCTTTTTATTACTCCTGAGAAAATGTATGTATTGGAGACTATACGCCTCCACCTATTAACGGATTATTATGACAGAGCACTCAAATGAGGGGAATCTCCCGTCTCCAAGAGATGTTTCTTTATTATTTCTTCTAAATGGATGAAAAGATCAGTCCCACCACTGGTAATAACTCCCACATTTAGGAGGTGAAGCCAAGTCCAGGATAAGGATAGATTGATGTTGGCAGGGAGGGAGCTGCTGCTCTTAAGGAACCCTGGAAATCTCCCACGTTGGATCCTCACCCCAAAGATGATGAGGCTGCCGAGGCTGCTCCTCCAGTGGGGAAAGCAGTGGGTGTAACTCAACACTGTGTGGAGAGGCAAGGCAGAGAGGAGAGCTGAAGGGCCCTCACAGCTCAGCATGATGGGCTTCAGTCCGAAGCAGCTCACTGGGCTTCAGAAAGATGCCTTCCATGGCTCTCCAATAGTTGTTCTGGCTCTGCTGGACCATGCCATGCACCTCTCTTTGGCCACTGATGGGCCGGCCATACTGCTCTCCCGTGACAGACAGCAGCACGTCAGTAGAAGCATGTTTGAAGCGAACCTCGTCATCCCTCACCCAGTGTGAGCCACTGCAGAGGACTGTCCAGTCATCCAGATAGTCCCCTTCACCCTCTTCCCCAAATGCACTCACTTCCTGGAAACAGAAAGTAGAAGAATTAGCGTGACCCCCAGAACAGATCTGAGAAGTGGATAAGAGTGACAGGAGGAGAGATGAGGGGATGAAGTAGAAAATGGGGAGCACTTCCACAGGAGGAACTTAAAAGTTTTGGCTGAAAGGGGGGGGAACAATCATCAAACAAATCCCATTCCCTGTCCCCCCTCAGAAAATACCAAAGAATGGCCCCCAAAAGAATACAACCGAGTTAATACAAGTCAACAAACACTTGCTTAGCACCTACTGTTTACAAGAAGGGGGAGATGATAAAGTACCTCATCTTTGTTCTCAAAGACTTTATAGCTTAGTTGGGAAAGAAAGACACAGCAAAATGTACAGAAATAGTTAAACAGCCATAATACAATTTAGCATGGGATTAAATGTAAGAGAGGTCGAATAGAGAAGTGGGAGAGATTCATGGAAGAGACCACTTCCAGTTTGCTGTCAGTGGGGAAGGAGGCAGCAGTGGAGGGGGAGCTTGGAAAAAGAAAAGGATTTTCATACTTGAAGGAAGCCTGGGAAGCCAGTTGGAGATGAGGAGGGAAAGCATTTCTGGCATGGAGAATAGTTGGAGAAAATGCCTGGAGCCAAGAGATGGAGGCTCACACTCCTGGCAACAGCCAGGAAGCCAGTGTCACTGGATGGAAGAGTCCATGTTGGGGAGTAAGGAGTAAAAACACTGCAAAGTTATTTCACTAGCATGACATC